TCACAGTGGGGGGAAAATGACGGTTGCTTGAAGCAGAGCAAGAAGAGATGGTATTAGTAAGCAGAAGATAGTGTTTAAAAGAGTTTCACTTGATAAAATAGACTCTTTTGGCTGAAGATGTGCCTCCACGTGTGGACAATCCAGCCTCTGGTTTAAGAGTACTCTTGGATTCCTGTCTAATTGCAGGCTCCCACATAGCAGCATCCACGAGTAATGCTTTGGCTCAAAACAGTCCTATCCTGGCAGACGATGATCTGGACTCACTTACTTGTGCCTTCATCACTTTGGCTGGATTAAAGCAATATGAGACACCTGGGCATGAAGCCTTTAGTGTTTATGAAAATAGCTCGTGCAGAAATTGCAGCATATGCTTGTGGTAAATTTTGTTACTGGGAAAACATCAAGCTCGCCCTTGATTTTCTGTGCCTAGTTAGCATATAGTTTCTGAATTGCTTTTAGGATCTTGGCCCTTATCTTTTAAGTGACACATATTCTATTCTTAGTAGTGGCCCAGAATAAAATTGGAAAAGAGTAGAGACCCAGAATGAAATTGGAAAAGAGCAAAGCCCTGAAATAGAATCATCTTCTAAAAGATTGCAAGATTTCTCAAGAGTTTATTCTAATCTCAGGTTAACACCGTGAAGATTTTACAAGCACTGGAGTTTTCCTACCTTTCGCTCTTACTATAAGGCCTTTTTCTATGACTTTGGTTTCTCCAAAAATAGCGTGTAAGTTTCTGTTGATGCAAGACATTCTATAGCATGCAAATTCCTTTTCTTTCCTGGAGAGAGCAAGTGTGGTGGATGAGTAGCCTAGTTACTACAGTGGAAGAAAGGTACAGTAAAGTATAATATGAAAAGCTGTAGAGCTATAGAGTACTGACAGTAATTGTAACTGGTATTTCAGAGGTAGTAACAGCCTTCCATCCAAAGCAAGTACAAAACACAAGTATAAGGAGTGTGGACTATTGCCAGCATTGTACTTGTGATCTGTTACCATTCTGACATCCAGAGACTATTGATAGAAGCTCTAGAAATAACTTGTATTTTCTATTTGCAGACTTGCACTTAGCATGAGGCTAGTCAGACTAGCTCTGGGTGAATGTATTAAAGCTGGCATTGAATTCTGTTGTATAAAGCTTGGGGGTTTTTTGATAGTAGATTTGAGTTATTAAATGTTTTGTTTTGGGTTTTTTTGATGCATTGCTGAGGTGGCCCATGATGTCCCTTAAGATGGTAGCATCCTAATAAAAGAGAAAGTTTTTGTACTGAGAACTGTGGAACACAATGAAATACCTTCTGAATAGTCAGTCCCCATGGAAATGTAAATTCTGTGGGCATGGAGCTCAGATCACCTAACAATAAAGGATGGGCTCTGTAGAAGGAAGCGAATGCAAGCATTTGCAAGGTACAGAAATACTGTTCTCTAGAGTATTGTCTGTGTCTGCCAGGGTTCATATTCTTATATTTCTGAGTATGAACAATTAAAAACATAAGCCAAAAAGCATGGTAAACCTAAATGTCCTCTGCTTTGAAGTACTGAGGGAGCCATGACTTCCTGTCATGGCTTACTATTTGTGTTCAGTATCTTCCAGGATCTGGCTGAAAGTATATAATCAACAAATGCTTTCCATATGCTTTCAATAAATTATTGTTAAGATGGAGATAATGAAATCATAATAAAGAACAAAATACATGGTAGGACTGTTGTCACTGTTTTCAAAACAGAAGTGCTAAATCCTGGAAACTTTCGGTTAAACTGAGAAGAAATTCAAATACTTTAAGCTGTGGAAATATGTGGAAAGGGGATCCAAACTTCCAAACTCTTTTCTGTTGCCAGATGCTCTGATTTCAAATGTAGTTAAAGTTGGGAAAAATACGGTGCAAAATATTTTTCACTCTTAACTTTGCCACTTAGTTACATCATGGAGGGTTCCTCCCCCTCGCTTCCACATTTGTATTTAAGGATAAGTTTAATCTGATGAGCATCTTCGTTGATTTGCTGGTATAGTTCTTGTGGAAAGTTATTTCTCAAAATGGCTACTAAGTAAGGGAAGTAGTGGCTTCATTTTCATCGAGAAATAAAACCTTTGGTTTTTTGACAGTTCTTTCTAAAGGAAGGATTGTTTTTTTTTTTTTGGGTGTAACTTGTTAGATGTCTTTTTATAGTTCAGATTCTTTTGAACTATGGAAAATAATAGGGGAAGGATGAAGAGAGATGACTATTAATAAAGCAAATTGGTGATGCATTCTTTTCTGGACATTAACTTCATTGCATAACCAGGTGATCCAAGTTTCCCTCCCTCTCTTCCTCTTCCATTCTTCTTGAACACTCCTTTTTCCTGCACTGAGGCTTCACCCATATCTACTCCCCTTTTATTGCAGCTAACCCTGCCCTCTGTGGTACATACTTTTCCTCTTGCCGGGGCTTCTTTGGACAGCATGTGTTTGACTTTACCCTTTCTTACTCCACTTTTTCTCTTTTGAGACATTGGCATCTTAAGCTGTTGTGGGACAGGAGGATTGTCAGAGTGAAGGTGTTTTTCCTCTCATTAATTTGCTTTGTTTTTTGGTTGTTAGTGGTTGGTTGGGGTTGTTGTTTTTTGTTTTTTGTTTTTTTTTTTGAACTGGAACATACTTGCTGTTAGATCTCTGGTGATTATCAGTGTCTTATACTGGTTATTATTCCAACCAGATGCCCTGGATTCTGCTCTCAATTTTTTGTTTTATTTATTTTTCTCCAAAGTCTGAGACCTAAAATCTGTATTGAATCAGGATTACATGCAGCATAAGCAAATGCTTGCTGTTGAGCTGAATGATCATTGCAGGTCCTTTCCAGCTGCATCTATTCTATTACATTATATTCACATTCTATTCCATTACATTTAACTTGATAACATGTCCTTGTCTAGATGTAAGATTTTGCAAATGTCACCACAAATAGTATTATCATCTGCTTAATGTTTGATTTTTTTTTTTTTTAAAGTTGTTTGGTGACCTGACCGTAAATGGAGGCACTGCCCACTTTCTGTTCTGACTCTGTATCCTAACACTGTCCTTTGTTATGTTTGAAAGAGGATGTACCTGCATCTGATTGAAAGTTAATTGGTATCTTTCTGTAATATGCTCAAGTGGTTGTGCAGTCAGATCTGTGAAGTGATCTGACTTGCCTGTGGCTACCTGATTTGTGAAGCAGATGAAGTACAGTGTCTGGAGTGTGCACCTCAGCAGGTGATGAGCTTTCAGCTGCAGTACATCTGTAGGCTGACAAAGGCTGATCATGCAACTACAGATTTAGAAAGCAACTTTTGCACAAGATGTAATTTTAAACATTTTAAATTGGCATGGCTATCAAGAGAAACAGTCCTTCCTGAGGACTCTTCGTGAGAGAAAACTCTTCCAGACCGCTGTTCTCATTCTCATTTTGACCCTTTCCTTTTCTGACACAGGTATATGATCGGTTCTCCTCTGGCTGCAAATGGCAGTGGAGGGGTAGCACGAGCAACTAGCAGTTGGTTGCAGGAAGCTCCTTCTCCTCCCCCAGAAGCTTATATTGTTTCAACATTCATTCGACCTCTTCTTAAAGAGATGTCCTGTTGATAAGATTACTAAATTGTTTCAGTGCAATTTTGTGCTCTATTCCTGTGCTCTTTTAGAGGCTTGTGGTGTCCACTGTGTTGTGTCACCACAAGCGTTTCTGTACCCATGCAGTGGCCTGATCTGGTTTAATACATATTTCAGTAAAAAAGACTGGCTTTAGATGGCTTGCTGTGCAGCACAGATGCTCTTGTACAGGTAAAATGAAAATGGATAGCTGAGGAAAGAGTTTGGAGTTTGGATAGCTCCAGTGGCCACTGGAAAAATAGGAAAAAAATGCTTATAAAGTTTTAACTTTGTAGCCAGATCAGGGAGCATGATCTAGCTTTGTCCCCTGGCATCCTTCTCCCTTTTACATTCTATTCCCTCTGCCTTGCACCTCAACTCAAAAAAAAAAAAAAAAAAATCCCCAAAACCTTACAAAACAAAATCCTGGGCTATTTTTCAGTTGAATCAATTATTTGATTCATTTCAACACAAACATCTGTGATGGTAGGGCATGGCTAAGGGAGTGGTGGTGGGGTACTTGGTTACACTATAAGGTAATACCTTTCAATCAGGAGGTTGCCACTGTTTCTACAGTAAACAGGCTGATTTCACTCTGTAATTGTTGACTGTAGCAGGGTTCATATGGAGCTCAGATAAGCTTGTAGCAATGTCTTACTCCTCATTGTGATCTTCCCTGTACTCATCTAGGTGACATATTTGAGATATGAAGGGCTGCATAGTCCCTAAGAATGACAGCATCTTGGAGCAGATGCTGCCTTATTGGACCAATTGGTCTGGCATTTAGGTTGTACTTGGTTTTGTGGATGCCTCTTGAGAAAATGGATTGGCAGTTGTAGGCTGTGTAGTTGTTGGTGGTAGAAATCTGTTTCCCCTCTTTCCTAAGATGTCCATATAGAGTTCACAAAAACTGACCCATGCCTGTATGAGGCTTCAGGAAATACTGACTGTGGTATGCATATGTAGTGTGAGTGCTCTGAATGTGTGTGTTTCCCAGGACCAGTGGATCTTAAGTATTCATGGTAGGTCTTATTGTGGCACTTACTGTCTAAAGCAAAGTGGCCTATTTGGCCAGAAAGTCCAGGGACTGCAAATTAAGGAAATCTAAAAAATGTCTAGCATGATGTGTAGACTGTTGAACTGTGAAAGCTCCTAGGAGAAAAAACTTCTTTCTCTAAGACCTTGGAAAACAAACTAAATGCACCTGGATGTGTCCCTTGAGGATGAACTATATTTTTTATGTGGAGAGGTTTCATTTAATGAAGTCTCACTGCATGCATTCTGTCCCTAGCTGTTGAGTGGTCTGTTTAGTGTTCTGTGGTCTATAGTGACATGCTTGCTGTACCTAGCAAGCATGCCACTTTAAGAAAGACTCTTAATCTTTATCCCTCTTTACAGGTTTGCAACAGTGAGGTATGACCAGGCATCCAAGAACATTAAAAACCAGTTCATGCATCTGACCAACTACAGTGTCAACAAGAAGAGTGGAGATTATGTCAGGTACTTGGCTGGAAAATGGAACTTGATCTCTAGAGGTTGGGTCAGTTTACCTAAGTTGGTTTAATGCTGATCCATAGAGGTAGACCAGTGGTGTTAATCTGCTTCTTTCTTTTATTTTTAGCTGTGATGATCCTGAAGTAGAGGATTATGGAAACAAGTGGAGCATGAGTGCAATGCTGAGGTACTTAAAACAAGAGGGGAGAGACACTGCAGGTCAGTACAGATCTTGTTCTTTTATTCCTTTGTTGGATCTTAATCATCTCACTAGTGTGAATCCTAAAAAGTCAAGGACGAGCCCCAGTGAGTCCCAATTAGCACCAGAGAAGGGTGGAGGGAAGCATTGTTCCTTATTCTAGCATTAGAGCCGTGCATTTATTCCCTATCCCCAGAGTTGAGGCGTAACCCCTTCCTTTTTGCAAATAGTATTCTGAGACTTCCTCAGAGTGTGTTTCTTAATGTTTTACCTACATTTCCCGTTTCTTAAGGTCATTCCATTCCTTCTAAAAGCTTCCCTCCCTCTACTGCTCCCATGGCCTGTTCAGTCTGATGAGTGACCAACCTCTGGAGAACTGTGCCAGTTTGAATGACTCTTGGATGTGGTGTCATCTTTCCATGGCTCAGGTTTTTGCTGAGTGTTTTCATTTCAGTCTGTGTTTCATATAAAACAGCTCCCTCTTCCACACCTTTGCCAGGTCTGCTGGGAGTAAATGCATCTGCAGAGCAGAATCCGGGTATATCCTTTAAGGGATAAATTGCCTGTGATACTAAGGCATCAGTTAAACTACTGGTAGCAGCTATGGCCCATATTGCAAATGTTGCCAGGGAACACTTAGATGTTGGATAAAGGGGTTTGAATCTGGCTTTCAGATGGAAGTAGGCTTTTTCCTCCATCATGTGTGTGCATGGCTGTCCAATCACTTGCATGATATGTATGCAGCAAGCCGTGAGCACATAGTTATTTATATTGATACGTTTCCACACCTCACCCCAACCTGAAGTATAAAATGTGCCCTCCTAATTATTAAGTAAACTACTGAGCAATGCAAACAGGTTTCTTTAACTATACGTTAAAAGGCTTCTTGCACCTTTCTCTGATGCATCTGATTCTGGTCATAGGGAGGTAGAATGCTGGCTGGAAAATGCTGGCCTTGTCTGGGCTGGCAAGATTTTTGTGCTTTAGAATGTTTATGTGCACTGGGATGTTTCTATGCTGTGTTGGCTTCACTTAGTTGTCTTCTAGTACAGAAATTCACATCTAAATTTGCTTGTATGCTCCTTCTGTAATTGCTCAGGTCCCTGCATGTCATCATCTGAGCATGAGAAGAAGCAATTCTAGGCCTAAAGCAAACTCTCTAGTCAAGTGGTTTGTAGTAGATTCTCTTTGAAGTAGGGATTACCTCTGTCTGCGTGGATTTGCTTGTGCTCCCTTTGAGGGGTGGGGAAGGCTGTCCTTTCATCCTTACTAACTTTTGAGAGCAGGACTCCAGTATTTGTTCATTCCTTTCTCCTCTCACTTCTCTATTGCTTGTCCTTGAAAACAGAACCTAAGTGTAGTGTTCCTTCTATTGCATGACTCATCCCAAGCCCAGTGTAGAATCCAGGTCTGCATCTAATATCCATCTTTTCTTGCCTTTTCCTCTCTCTGTCTGCTTAGACTCCTGTTCCGGAGCTCTGTTCATAGGCTCATGCAGGAGCTGCAAATGCTTTCTTATTGCAGGTTATCTATAGGTCAGCAGGACTGGAAGCTGTCACCAGTCATATAATTTTGAAAAGATTTATGAACAGCTGCTTTAGAGGAAGGTGCAACATCACAGAACAGTTATTTCATGAAAGTCTACAAGAAAAAATTTTATATCTTGGAGACTATGGTTTATTTTCTGTAATTTAAGCATTTATCTCACTAACCCACTCTGGTTTAATCTTTCCTAATCCTCTGAGTGGGCAGTGGTCATACTCCAGCTGACTTGTGCTGATGTATTTGCCATATGTTTCTGCTTACCTGCACTGTACATATACTCACATTTATCATTCTCATTTGTGAGTATTTTTGCACTAGCATACTTTTGCATGTATCTATATACTTCTGCTTGAATGGATTTCTAAACATCATTGCTTTGTCATCCATAGGCTCTTATGTGCTTTGATTCACAAAGGTATCTATCCATATGTGTATTCTCATGCCTTTCTAGATATTATGTTTTACTTCACAATCTACTTTTTCCTTTTTTTTTCTCCTCTCCTCCCCTCCTTGCAGCACTGATGGCCAACGTGGAGGACCTGATTATCAAGACTGTAGTTTCTGCTGAGCTGTCCATTGCCTCAGCTTGTAAAAGTTTTCTTTCACATCGTGGCAGCTGCTTTGGTAAGGCATTGGGGACATCTTTGTTGATTGCCTCTTGACTACTGTTTGAAACCTCCAGCTTTGTGATGCTAGAGAAATATGCAATTTGTAATTCTAGAAAGCTGGAAACTGTTTTGGTTGTTTTGTTTTTATTTTATTTCTCCTCATTATAGGCCTCTTTGAGGGCAGGGGATGCTAGATCTTAGTTGACCCTGTACCAGTGTCAGTCATCAAAATCTCGTGATAGAAAATGAAAATGGGGTGATGAAAAGGGACTTGAAAGGGAACTGGGGAAGCGCTGGAAAGTTGAAGTTACTGACCCACTAGTGCCCTCGCAAAGGGTTGCTGTGGATGATTAAACACACTTTTAGAGCATTTGATATTTTTGGTTGAGCCACCTGAAACAATGTAGTTCTGCATTTTCCTACGTGCGTCTGAGGATTAGGGAGAAAGGTGAAGCGCGGTGCCTGGAATGATGGTGGTGGTGAATGGTTTGTGCTTGTGCGAGAAGGCCACAGGGTGGCGTCAGAGCCCATTCCTGGCAGGCGCTGGAAGCACAACTATGTGCTGGCAAGGGATTTGAGAGCTCGCTGGCAGCAGCTGCTGGGACGAGGTCCAGAAAGCAGCGGCTGGTACCACAGTGTGCCTTCTCCCACTTTCCAGTGGCTGCTTCCCAGCCTTTCCTAAAGAGGCCTCCTTCTGCTCATAGCCATCCTTTGCTCATGTGGATACATGCACAAAGATGGAGTCCCAGTCAATGCTTAAGCCGAAGGCCAAGCTTGGCTTAAGCTATCCAGTGTTTAGGTATCAGGTAAACTAGCTGCGACAGGTAAAGTAAATCCATTTATGTGGTCCTTGCACTGCACTTTAGATATTGACACTTCTGTAGCTTTCAACACTCCTGTGTAAATGCTGTTATCTTTGGATATTTGGGGGTGATGAGACAGATCCTGATGTCTTTGTTCCAAGCTGAAGGACCTTGTCATGCATGGAGATTTATGAGTTAAATAATAGTTTCAATGAAATAGCACTTGATTGGTTACTCCTGAACTATCAAGAACTGGATTTAAAAAAAAAAGCACACCAAAGAAACTTCAACTGCCTCTATTTTGGCTTCTCCCTTTTCCTCCCTCAGTTGTGTCTCTCAGTTCCTCTGAGCTGTGTATATGGAAACTAATGTTCCTCATGTACTTTCTGGTGGGCCTGGCTCTGAGGTTATCCCACTTCCTGCTGCCTCCCCAGGGCTGCACTAACCACCCTCTTAGATGCTCCCCCGCAAATAAACTGTTTTGTTCCATCTATTTCAGTGTAAACATAAATTAAGAGCTTCCCAGGAAAGAGAGCTTAAGTAGGAGCCATACTGCTTCCCTAGGGAGCCTTAGGCATTTCCAGAGCTCAGTACTTTTTGCCACCTTCCCCCACAGTTAAGTGAGGGTCCTTGTCCCAAGGATTTGAACTGTCGTCATGCTGCACGGCTCGTTTGTCACCAGTGTTTCTTGTTCTGACACTCTTTGGTTGTGCCACTTTTAACCCTGTTGTAAAAAGACACTTTTTCTAGCTGGAGATGTTCAGAATGGCTCAGTGCTTAGCTGTTAATGGAAAGGAGAAAACTGGGAATGAAGATTTCAAGGCCAGCATGCAGAGTCTCACAACTCTTTTAGTTTTTCTTTTTTCATTCTGGGTGTGAACAATGAACTGCATGTGTGCCCTGAGAAGGGCCGATCATTTGAAAAGTATCTCAGACTTCAGAAACCTTTATCTGAGATTCAAATGCAGAGGTGGACCTTGTTTGGAAAACTTCTAAAAAATATAACTGTGTATTCTACTCTAGTTTTTGTAAAGCTGTTCTAGGGAATAGGATTCCTGTACAATTGCCACCTTCTTGCTAAAAATTAAATTATAACTATTATTTGTCTAGATGAGGTTGACCACTTCTCCAACAAGTTAGTGGTTCTTCAGTCCTTTTCCAAGTAGATGTTTTTATGTGTAATGTACTTGTTTTCTAGATTTAAAGGAAAAGAATTCATTCATGCCTTCTGCATTTTCTAAAATAAGACCAGGGAGATAGTCTGATTTCAACTACCAATGCTTGCCTAGAAAGTGAGAGTGGTAGGTCGGGATGATTCTTTTTTAATGTCAAAGTGGAGTGCTGCTGACAGTTTGAAAGACTGTAGTGAGTCCCATTTTGGCTATGTAACGTGAGCTGTTTACTGCATTCCAGTAAATAACCAGTTTTCAGAAGACTTGGGATGCTCAGTTTTGGTCTTCTGAAGTGCATCACAGGAAGCAGTGCAAGTACTACATGATTTTGTTGCCCTGTTCATGCACTGTTATTAACAAAGTGATCTCAAACCTCTATTTTGTTCTTTGTAATTAGCTAATAATACCTCATGTAAAATTAAGCTCCTAGTAAAGTCTGTCTTAATGAGTAAGTAGCTCCAGAGGAGGGCATCCTGCAGGTCTCCAAACCACTGCATTGTCCTGAAGTTCGTAACCAGTTGAGTTATTGGTTGCCTCTGGAGCCTTCTTTTAAGAGGAAGCTAGATTTTGCACTGACATTGAGGGATGTGATGTCTCAGTGTGAGAACAGGAGGTACAATAGCAATGCATATGCCCAAGCCAATTAAAGACTGCATTGTTCTCCCTCCTGAAGTAAGCACTTCTGGATAGGCTAGAAAAGGCAGTGAGGCCTGCTTTCAGACAGTCTGAAAAATCTCCCTGTAGGATGGTTTAGCAGGGCATGAAATGAAGGCAGTTGGATGCAGCACATTTTTGCCAGCATCCAGTGCTGGATTTTCTGCACTCACTGAAATATGAGCCTGAAGAAGCAATAGATTGAAATCCCCTGATTTATTCACAGTTCTAGTCAAGCCAGCTGTGACGCTGTTGAGCTCTTCTGCAATCAAGAAGGCAGGGTAGGGTAATGGGCATATTGATCCCACCAGAGCAATGAGTTTCTAATTTAGTTGCTTCTGTGTCCTAAGGCCAAATTGGTCAGGCTTATGCTTGTAATCACACCTACATTAAGATGGTATAGAACAAACAATAAACTATTGTACTACTTTAGTGGTGCTGACCTGGAGCTAAATGCTTAAAAAAAGTCTTCATTTATATCTAATCACCAGTTTCTCAAGCACCTATGATTGCTGTTCTTCATGAACATTTTATTTTCTTAATAGTAGCAGTTGACCTATTTGGGGGAAGTCTTTTGTAGGATTGAACAATGCTGACCTGTTCCATAATGACTTTTGCAGGGCACTAAAAATTTGATATTCTTAAGGAATTTCTGTATACACTTGCTTGACATGAGGTAAGTCTCTGTTTAGTGACTTGGGTCAGCCATACATATACTATGCATATTCCCTATGTTTTTCTGGTTTCTTAGATGACATGTCACAGGAAAGCTGAATAAGGATTCCCTTCCCTTGCCTTTTTTTGCAAAGCTTAATTCATTCTATTTTTATAGCCTTACCATCAGTCTTTGCTTTAAAGCTGGTATGTAAAGATGCCATTTGGAATCTGAAAAAGGTTGTCCTTAGAGTCCTCTGGCTATGATCAGATTCAGGAGGCCTGTACTTTTCAAGACAGGTATTGTGATTATCTAATGAGCAAAGTAGGTTTTGTCATGTAACTATATCTTCAAATTTAACAAAACTGTCAGCTGACCTGGAGAGGTAAAATGACTTCAAAGGATAGGTCTTTTAGTCATAGGTACTATAGGAATAGGGGGTCTATCCCTGCACTGATCTTTCTACTCATCACTTCATGGCTCTAAACGGTACCTAACTGATTATTGGTGATTTAGCACCCAGAGCTCAGCTGAAAGATTCAAGATCCCTGTTGCTGCAGAAGCTTTCTGGTTTCTTTAGGAAACTGTCCTCAGCTTGGTAGCACCAGTTTTCTCTCTCAGGATGCTGGGGTATACCTAGAAAGAGTTAAATCTTCCAAAAACAGTCATAAAGAAATGACTAGCATTGCCAATTTATCATCAGTGGACTGATGTGTTACCAAAGTCTGAATCAGTCCTGGCTTCTCATTCCATCTTCTACTGCCCCTGGTTCTTGTAGTGACATTAAGGTCTTTGGCAGATAGACAAGAACGTGAAAGTAAGGAACACCAGATTATTCTTGTCTCCTGGTTTTCTTGCAGCTAACCTTCTTGGAGTTTGGGAGCTTAAAATCAGAAGAACTTGGGCTAATAAGGTCAGGAAACATGCTCGCTTTCTCCTTCACCTCATGTACCCATCTATCTATGGAATCAGCTGACTTTTATTGTGATCAACCCGCTACTACATTTTGTTAATTTAGGCACCTATATTTGTGGAGGACAGCTGCACATCTACTCTTATATTCCTCTGTGTCATAAGGACATCATAAGATGTCCAGAAATGGTTTCTGGGATATTAACTTCTTTGCTCACTATGATATCACATACTGGGTTGAAAATGTTTCTCTTTCATGGGTGATTCTTTACCCAGTAAGATTAGGATTATAAAGGCAGCCCAATTTGCACCAAGACTCCTGTTCTTTGATGTTAGCCTTGAAGGTGGCCTTATTAGCTTTTCTGATTTCAGGGTTGAAGGATGATTCTGAGTCTGATTTTGGTATAGGTGATGAGCTCAGCTCAGCTGTAATCTTCTCTTCACCAAAGAAAGTAGTGGTTTATGTAGAAGGAGAACAAACAAGATGGTGAAAGGTCTTGTTATCGTTTAGTTTGGTTGAACACCCTGTGTCCACCGAGACTCTGCCCAACGCCCCCCAGAGGGAGAAGAAGGAGGGAAGGGGGAAAGGAAAAAAAACTTCCAAAACCGAGGCTGCTGAGAAAGGCGGTTTTATATTTACATAGAGAAGAAAAAGAAGAACTATAAGCACTATACACACAGGGAAAACTAACAATAAAGACTACTTCCCCAGGAAGGGTGTTTTCCTCCTCCAGAAACAGCCGTCTATCCCACGCAACCGTCCCAGAAGAGAAGAAGGAAGTTGTTTCCTTCTCGTCTCTTTATATCTGAGCTGACGTAACATGGTATGGAATAGCTTATTGGTAAAATATACATCAGGTGACCTATCCTAGTTCTGTTTCTCTCCCAGAGAGGGTTACAAACCCACTACAGGTCTTGAGGACAAGACTGACAAGGAGTGGCTGAGGTCATTTGGCTTGTTGATCTTGGGAAAGTCTGAGGGGTGACCTCATTGCAGTCTACAGCTTTCTTAAGGAGGGCAGTGGAGGGGGAGGTGTTGATCTGCCCTCTGGTGACCAGTGATAGGACATAAGAAAATGAAATGAAGCTGTGTCAGGGGAAGTTGACATGGGACGTTAGGAAAAGGCTCTTCACTGAGAGGGTGGTCAGTCACTGGAACAGGCTCCTCAGGGAAGTGATCACAGCACAAACCCTGTCAAAGTTCAAGGAGTGTCTGGATGATGCTCCTAGTCATATGGTTTAGTCTAAGGTAATCCTGCAAGGAGCAGGGAGTTGGACTCAGTGATCCTTATGGGTTCCTTCCAACGTGAATTATTCTATGTCCCTATGTATGTACTGTGAAGTTAATCCACTTCTGAAGACTTTTATTTGGAATGTGACTAAGTGTCCTTCAGGCTTCAGTAGAAGGAAAGAAAGTTGCAAAGTCATCTTATGAGTGATGGGCTTTCTCTGGTTACCTATAGTGCAGAAAAGTAAGGCAATCACACATTTGGCCAAACTAGTACGACAAACTCTGGCAGACGCAGGCCACATCTCATGGTGCAGACAAGAACACCAACGTGTGGAATAATTTTGTTCCCTCTTGCTGGGTCCTTTCCTATAATAACGCTGAGAGATAAAACCTTTATCTGTTAAAATAAAGCTCTGTAAAAAAGGGAATTAAGCTGTATTAGTTAGAGAGCAAGGCAAATTCCTGCGCAAGACTACAACACCAGTACTTTCCCCAAAGCCTTTGGTGTACAGAGTAGAGTCTTCTATTTTATTACTTGATATGACAGTGTGACCTTTTGCTTATCAAAGCATAAATTATTATGCTGGTCTTCTGTAAGAGTAACAGGAATGATTTGGGACCTGACTGTGATAGCCCCCAACATGTGGATTTGTTCATGTCCCTGTAACTGAGTTGAAACAGGTACTGTACCATCACTAGGTAAAGGGATGAAGTTCATTTACAAAATACTGTGTGGTCTCTGTAGCGTTAAGTTTGGCAGCATGTTCAGCAAAGCACTATGGCCGTCGCTATACTCTTGGAAGTCTTTCTCCCTGACACTGGTTGCTGCTTTGGATGAAATTGTAGCACAGTTAACTTTTTAACAGCTTCTTTTTTTTCCTAACACCTTTATTCATGTTGTCTGTAAGCACAGTTTGCAAGATACCTTTATATAAGGACAGAAAAAGTAGGAAGGAATAAGGGAAGACTTGAATTTCAGTGGCAAAGGTGTAATTCCTTGCATTAGTAATGTCTGTAAATATGCTCCTGCATAAAATCAGATGATCAGGTTTTTATTATAAAACCAGAGTAGTTGCATACTCCACAAATTTTTTTTCACTCTGTTTGCGTCCTTTCATAACTTCAGGTTGTCTCCATTCAGTTGCCAAATATGTACTTTGCAGTAAAGCTGCTTTTTTCCCTAGGGAAGAAGCTGCAAACGAAGACCAGAATTACGGTGACCCCCTAGGAATTGAGTTTATTCATTCTATGCAAAATCGTGAAAAACTTGTTTGTGCTACCATGCTATCACTTGTGACTTACTTTCTAGACTTACAGAGAATAACAAATTCTTTGGGGATATTTTGTGAAAGGGAGTACCGGTGTAGTCTTGGACAGGATTATAAACTAAACTTGGAATACATGGAAGTTTATCAGAACCAAAAAGCTTGAGAGTGTATCTCTAGCCTTCCTCTTAGTCTTAAATTATGTCATTTGCAAAAAAATCTCTGGCTGAACTGTTGCTGTTAGACTTTAGTCTGAAGATAGGCCTTCTTTTGGGAGGATGGGAAGCTCAGTCAGCAGTGGGGATTAGAGGGGAGAGACAGGCTGTTCCTGCTGTGTCTTGGCAACAGCTGGTACCTCCTGATATAATTCCAGTCTCTTTAGCAAACTGCAGCGGTGAAACACATTTTGTGGATTGTAGTAGCGAGAGGAGGGGAGCAAGGGAAGGCACTATGGAAACTTGGTATCTTAGTTTCTTTTGTTCTTCTCTTACAAATAACAGTGGCACTTGGTGGGTAGGTGGGATGTCATGAATGTACTGTTGCCACAGAATGAAGTGTGTTTTTCAGTTATTCTGTTTTCTTTACTCTCTCTGCAGAGGGAAATGGCAGTCCTGCTTAAGTTGGTAATTGCAGAGGATATACTTTCGATCTGGCTATGCTTCTTGTTCTGCCTATGTATTTATTTTTACAAATGATAGTGGAGTTTCACAGTGGAAAGGATACTACTACTTACTTCTGTGTTTAATCTAGGTAGTGTCTTTTCTAAATGTGGAAGAGGGCCAAGGACATATTTCTGGGTAAACTTCTGACTGTTGAGCACATCTTTGTACTAAGTCCTATGTGGAACCTGTGAGGCTTGATTCTGTTGCCAGAACATGGATATTGCATAGCTCCTGATGCCATGAAGTATCAGAGACATCTGTCTAGGGGTTGTAGATTTGACCTAGAATACATAAAACTTGGGGCATTATGAAGTGTCAGTGGAGTCTTCTTAGGAGACCGTGAGGCATTGCAGATGACATTAGATGTCTGATGAATTGAGTCAACAGGGATACCCGGAAGAGCTTACTGTCCTAATAAACAAGGCAGACACAAGGGAAAGGAATGTAAAGCTCCAGCAGCGTGGTTAGGGCTAGCTGAGGTCAAGAGGTTTCCCCTGTGTATTTGTAAAAGTGGACAGAGTGAGTAACTGGGTGGGAAAGATGGAAGTTTAAAGAGCAAGTGATTGCAAGAGAATTGTGTGGGAGAGGAGGACCAGGTCAGAGGAGCCAAAATGTAGCAAAGCTCCTTTGAGGGGCAAAGGGAGGGAATGGCCAGCAGCAAAAGAAGCAACAGCTAGTCAAAACAAAATGTGCTGCTTCCTGACTGGGGCTGGGAGGTTGTGGATCAGCAGCTGCTACAGGCCCACTCATTGGCTTCTCTGCCTTGGCCATGAGCTGCCTCTCCACTGGAGTTTTCTATGCCATTAAGAGTCATGGGTCTTCATCAAATCTGAGATTATATTTTGAAATAATGTATTAAAGTCATCAGAAGCCTCCCCTGTCAAAGTGCTTTGCTAATGTTTACACTTACAGTCCCCACCTCCTCCTTTCCCCTCTACTGCAACCTTTCCTGTCTGGGGAGCAAGAGAGCCAAATGTAGATTCAGCCTCATTTCTTTGGAGTGAACCAGCTCTTTAACTCTCTGCTGTTTTGCTTCCCACTCAGTGTCTGGCTACAGAGTCTAGAAAAGTGAGCACGCAATGCTCACTCTGCTGCCATTTCTCCCCCTTCCAAGTCCCCCCCACAGCTCATTAACTTCCCGTTATAAGATACATGAGCTTTTGCACAGCTGTCTGCATATGAAGATCTTGTCAAGCGGTCCAACTCCCCAGAGCCAGAATCAATGTCAGGCAGGCAACTAAAGGCCAAGGCCAGAATTCAAGGAAAGCAGTATGGCAAAGAAACTTCCTGCTTTTACTCCAATCACTAGGGAACTGGTTAATTCCATGGAAATCCTCCTATTCTGCCAGTACCCTTTTCTGTGGTGTTTTAAAAAAAAAAAAATTGTCTAAGTTGCCCTGGTGATAATTAACTGTATTTCTTAATGCTGGAAGGGGGAATTGCATAAATGGCAACTTCTGATTTATAGTCATTTTTACATAGCATCCTTCTTGTGACTCTTTCCAAACTAGAGAGAAAGTGTGTATAGAGTGAAATAGTAAAATCAGTCTTGGAATGGGAAGCTGGCTTCAGTCAGACCTGTGTAGAGCAGAACACATCTAGCAGATATAATATGTTGTAGAATGTTTTAGAAACTAAAGAAAAAATATTTCTATCATGGTGTGCTGCAAAGTGGCAAGCTGTCAATAAGCTAACGGGTTGTCCATGGGAGGTTGTCCATGTAGATGGGGCTGCCTAGAAGTCTGTAATCCCATGAGGATATTGCAGAAAATATATAGGAATAATTGAAAAGAAGCTGATGCTTAAAAGAAGCAAATTGTCTCTAGCTGACTGGAACAATGAATATAGGGATTAAAAAGTGAAGAGGAGAATGAAGTTCTGTTGTTTCCAGGATCCAGTAGATTGAACCTGCTGTGTGTGTCAATTCTATGTGACAACAAGTAGTAGTTTTGCATTAACTACGGTTTGTGGGCAACAAATAGTTTATTTTCCTGTATAATACTTCCCTAAGACTCCTTTTTTGTTCCCTTCTCTCCCCCACAGACAAAATATATTTAATCTTGATTCTGAGGAAGTGAAAATTCCCCCTTGTGGAATGTTATTTGTTCAGCTCTAGAGAGTTCACTGGATTTAACATAAATGACTTAGGAATGACTTGATAGAGACTAGTGTTGGACCTTACCTGAATGCTTAAAGATATAGTAAGATGAACTTAAGAGTGTCTGCTGTGTTTTCAGAGCTGTATGGTTTTGATGTCCTTATTGATGACACACTCAAACCCTGGCTGTTGGAAGTGAACCTGTCCCCATCATTGGCCTGGTAAGTGATTTCCAGTTTCATATGAGGACTGTTGCTGGAGATGATTGTCCTTGAAACTAGGAGGGCATGATTTCATGATACCTGCAGGTTATTTGTTCCACTGCTGATTGGCAGAGAGGATAATCCTTTGCTTTTTCCTTTGCATAAACAAACTTGTTGCAGCAATAAGTTTTGAAAGAGCTCAGTTGGGATTCCATTTTCTTTTTAATTATTTCCTTTTCACAGTCCATCATCATAATCTCCCATCGTAGATGAATTTTGAAACTTTGCAGACCGTTGTGTGGGATTTCAATCTGCTTGACTGATAGAAGCTTTAAGGTTATGGAGTCCAAGCAGAGTTCAGTCATTATGTTGAGTATGTAGATGAATGGTTGGGCTCAAATGTTTGGCCTAGTACTCTCTTTAGCTAAAATCTAAAGAGTGAGTGTTGTCTTGACTCTTATGCCGACCCTCATGCTCTAATGAAAATTGGGGATTTATTTTTGTAGGTTTCTCAATTATGATTTTTTTGTGAGAGGTGTAGTTAATTGTGGTTTTTAAGAACTCTATGACAGTAACTTTTATCTACTTCATGAAATGTAGCATAGAAAATGTCTTTAGCTAAGCAGAGCTAAAACAAAGCTGTACATGTCTGCATTAGGACACTAAAAGCTGTGGAAAAAGGATAAACAGATTAATTGTTGCTGTTTGATCTTTACCTATACGTGTGAAAATTGCCTGGTTTTCTTCCAATGTTGTTTTCGCCTCTGTTAAGAATCAGTACAAAGAAACTGTATTGGGAGATACACTGGATGCTGATGCATTCTTCTCATTTAATGCCAGACAAATAATTTCTCTTGTCCTCTATTGCATGTGGGGACAGTGATGCTCCTTTGGACCTGAAGATCAAAGCTAGCATGCTCTCAGATATGTTCACTCTTGTAGGTGAGTGTAGCAAAAAGCTCCTTCGATCCTTCCCTTATTTAAGACCAATAAAAGGTAGGTTTAGGAGCTGCATGTTATTAGATGAGTATAATGGAGGCAAACTCCAGTTAAGGAAAGCAGTTGTATTTAGCACTAGGAGGTGGTATGTGTACACTTCAACTTCAGGATAATCTGTCTGATTGTTATGCTTAGATGGTATTAAGAGTCCCCAGTTTCATAGTTGAAGACACTACTCTTTTTAAGTACTTGGTTTTGAAGCAAGCTACAGTTTTTATTAAAAAAATGTAATGGAAGGTACAGTTTGGGATTAAACAAAGCAAGGTATGAAAATGGAAAGCTTCCTTATTGGTTCTTGGGCAGGGACAAGAAGGTTGTGTACAGACTGGGACTGTGAACAGGAATGCTAGGTTTATATGTCAGGGTTTGCCTGTCTTAAAGTTCTCATCTGGCTCCTGATGCCCCTAGGCTTTGTGTGCCAGGATCCAGGCCAGCGGTCAAGCCGGGCCATTTATCATTCAGCCGAATCTGTCAGGAGAAATCCATACCAGAAGATGCAGGTAAGTGATTTTAACAAGCCAGAGCTGAGAAGGATAGCAAAAAGTCATTCTCATTGAAGTTGACTCACTGGTGAGAGAGGCAGTGAGGGAGATGATCTGGATTTCTAGCATAACTACAGAAGAAGAAATTTTTAACTGTGTGAGTGGTGAGGCACTGGAACACGTCCAGAGAGTTTGTGGAATCACTATCCCTGGAGGCGTTCGAGACCAGGCTGGATGGGACTCTGAGCACCCTGGTCTAGTGGGAGGTTCCCTGCCCATGGCAGGGGTGTTGGAGCTAGATGATCTTTAAGGTGCCTTCCAATCCAAACCATTCTATGATTCTAAGAGACTCAGGGGATGCACCTCAGTTATGCACCTGAGTTATTCAGCCACTTTCATTTTGTTGTGGGTAACAAGCTTCCAGAACCCTAGAGCTTTATGAATGTCTCCGAGATCTCCTTCTAGGCAGAAAAAGCTTCTTGCATTTGAAATTTAAGACTTTTTTCCGATTCTGTCTTGGAGTCTCTTACTTCCTCTCCCATGGATCATTGGACTGAGGCCTCATGTGGCTTGCTGTGACTGCCCGTTGCCTTTTCTGCTGAGGTAGTGCTTTCTTAACACTGTAATGCTGAATGGCAGTTGTTTCCTATCTGTTTTTGGCTATGAAATGGATTCCATAAATATCTGTGGAAATGGAGCGTTCACAAAAGGCAGGGAGATCTGGTACGTCGCTTGGACTTTAAACACGTTTCTCCTCAGGCAAATAGGCAAATGGTGCACCCTAACAGCTGCTGTGAGGGACGTGAACATGGCTGAGTAGCTCAAGTTCAGTTAGGAAATGATAGGTCATTTTTGTTCAGTGACAGTGTACCAATACACTGTCCATTTTGGTATAGGGAAAACTCACAGAAGTTGCAATATTTTTTTTCTTGTAAAACTCAGTCTTTAGTCACTGGGAGAGAGATGAATAGCTGGTAAGATGGGATTTGAGTATCTATAGGATGTGTGTCTGAGTCCAAAACTTCTAAGGCCAATTTAATAGATAGTGTTTTAAATACAGATCCCTCTGACCATAAAGGTGCTCTTTGTAGCAGACTAAAGGTACATCAGATAAATTAGGAACCATTCCAGAAAAAGTACCCCTCTCTCTCTGAGAGTAATGTGATCAGATCCTGATGATTTGACATCTTTTATCTGAAAAGAATTATACAAGACAGTCTCAGAAAATTATGCTGCTGGGAAGCATTGAATTTTAAGGATTTGAACTTTATTTTGCTTAAAAAAAAAACCACAAAGAGATGTAAAGCCTGGCCAGTTGAAATGTGCAAAGATTCATATGAGAGAGCAACGGTTATGAAGTGGGATTAATTTATCTTTTGGGACAGGTGTCCGCATTACCTATGTTTAATAGGAACAGGTTTATAATCCAGTGATAAAGTTTTATAGCATGTTTTTCTTATGTACCTAAATAGAAATTCCATGGCTACATAGATGTTTAGATCTTCCCATTGTTCAGAAATGTTTTGTCTTCTTCTTTATCTCAGATTGTTGGATCTTTGATACCTTCTCCCATTCTCAGTTGAAAAGGGTACATTGAACCTCTTTTGTTTTTCTTTCCTCCTTCATGAAGTCTTGAGTTTTGATTGTTCACACAGACTATCTTTAATCATTGTAAAATTGCTGCTTGGGAAAGAAATACTGATACCAGTGCTCTTGAGAGACTCTCTTGAATAAGTATCCCGAGATAGTTATTCTGTTTTCTGGGTTTCACCAGACTGAACTGCAAGTTTCTTGTGCAATTCCTTTGGTTTGACTCTCTGAGCATTTCTCCCTCTAGGGAAATGAACAATTTAGCTTCTTCCTTTGTAATCTTGTTGATTTGGGTTGGAGCTCTTTCAGTTAATTGTAAGCAATAAAGGGGCCTTGACCTGTTTTGTATAGACCAGCTGTAGAGAAGAACTTGTCAGTAGTACAGTTAGGTCTCTTGAGAAGCCTTTCTTACACCAGTTGCACCTCTTGGGCATTGGAGAAGAGGAGACAGCCTGAGTACCACTGAAGACAAGAAAAATATAAGCTCTTATGATAATCTTTTCCTTTTGAACCTGCCTCTGTCATTAAACTGGTCTTGCTTGTGGACCTGATGCCAGATCAGTAGTACAGGGTATTTTCTGATATTCTGATGATGTTTCTGCACCTGTTTCAGAATGTTAAATAGTATTTTGTTTCTCCACAAGAACTGGAATATTGTTGAGCTATTTAAATGAAATGTCTTGTGGAATTTCAGGATTATTACTTTTTTTTAATCCTCTTTGTTTTATGAACAATTCTACTAGACAGCATCTGTTTCTGCTTAATAGATAGCTATTAAATATTTTTATCTAAGTGACTCTCGTCTTACAAAAATATCAGTTTTGGTCATTGTAGCGTAGTTCAGAGCTCTTTTCTGTATGCTTTTGAAAATTGCATGTCCAGATGCATTCTGCACAGCTGAACACATCTGAGGTTAGGATTAGTGCTGTGTTTGGAATGGGGATAGGATATGTTTGTGCAGGATATGAGGAAGATCTGAACTGAGATGGTGGAAGTGGTTAGCTATATCTCTGGACTTCAGTTATCATAGAATCGAAGAATGGTTTGGGTTGGAAGGGACCTTAAAGATCATCAAGTTCCAACCCTTATGCTGTGGACAGGGACACCTTCTACTAGACTAGGTTGCTCCAAGCCCCATCCAGCCTGGCCGTGAACACTTCAAGGGATGGGTCATCCACAAGTTCTCTGAGCAACCTGTTCCAGTGCCTCACCACCCTTTGCTTATATAGTGTTTTGCTTAGGGTACTTGCCACTCCTCTGCTACTCAGGCAAGGATGAGAGTGTCTTCGAGAGCACAAGGTTTTTATTCTTTTTGTGTGTCTCTTGCAGCGTCCTGCATCTGCACAGTCACAAACAGCAAACACCAGATTGGTGAGTACCCTTCAGCTCCCAGCACCAATATGAGGGAGACAATTTCAAACATTACCTTGTACAATGCTTTGGCGCAATTAGGCCCTAACTATATTTTACAACTAGAATAGCCTGGTGCGGGGTGGAGGAAAGTCAACAAGAGAAGATGGACTGACATACGTTTCCATGTGGCAAAATCAAATGTTGGAAAAATATTTAAAACACTAATAGCAGCTTAAAAAAAAAAAAAAAGTAGGTGAGTTATGCTGAGAGACTACAAGTATTTCTGAACTGCATTTTAAAGACATTGTTAGAGATGTTTAAAGATAAAGCTGTCACTCTGATCATCAAATGATGAAAACACTGGCAGCACAGTAGGTAGGCCATTGAAAAGGAAAGTGCAAAAACCAATGAGAAACTGGTAAAACCAGCAGCAAATAGGAGTGTCACACCAAAAGGGAGGAGTAGGAATTTTTGTCTTTGTACTGTAGGGGATGGAATAAGGAAAGCACAGGTGAATCTGCACAGACAAAATTCAGGTGGCCCTATGAAAGAAGTAATAATTTTCTGTGAGACAGTCATCTGAAGGACGCTGTAAAAATTTGAGAGTGAACTGGCTTAAAATAGAGATAAGAAGGATTTCTTAAAGTTAATGGAAAAATATAGACTGTTGTTAGCATAAGTCAGACTGATTTACCTTTCTAAATGTCATATTTGGCACCCTTCATACAAGCCATATGGACAAATCAATGATAGTTTACAATTCTAAGCACCTGGCTGTGTGGGGACATGGTAGGTATTATTTTGCTGCTGGGCTTCCTGCATGAATGTAATAGGAATTATTTTAATTTGTTTTTTTATAAGGTTTCCCAGCAGGAAGGGAAGGTAGGACAGATGGAATCATCTTGAGAACCTAATTCGTTCTATGCACTGCTATTTATGTCATTCTGTGTAAGTTTAGCTGAGGCTTAGCGGAAAGAGTCTTATTGAATAATGAGGTTTTGTAGAGAATAGGAAGGATCTTTGTGCCAAGTGCTGTCAGTGCTTAGTAAAATTAGAATCATGATATGGGAACTAGGGATACTTGCAGAATTTGGAGATATACCAGAGCGGTTGGATTTATCTGTGCTTCTAAAGATAAGCTGGGTCAAAGAGGAAACAAGTTCTTTGTGAAGCTGGAGACATTTCTGTGCTACAGCCAGAGGGTATTCTGTAGTGAAACACTGAAAAAAGTATTTGTGCAGGAAGCCCAGTAAAGTTAGAGTTTTTCTCTAGCCTTTTGACAGCAGTGTAATTTTGTTCTCAGATAGGAACCAGAGCTGCCAGTACATAGGCATATATTTTCTGTTTGTAATCAGTGAAATCATCTCTGTTGTATTCAAGTGTTCCTTTAGTAAAGTAGCTCATCTAATAGGATGAAAAAATTCTGTAATATTCTCTTTGAGCAGCAGTTCTCACATGATGATGATTGTTATATTAGTGCCAGGAAATGTTTTTAAGAGAAGGTTACCTATCAGGAGATTCTAGAGGAAGCGAAGTTGTTGAGCTGTGGATTTGAAATGGAGGAAAGCTTAGGAAGAAAGACTAAAGCCTTTCAACTTAGTATCATCTACAGCATCAGGCAAACCTGTTTGATTACTGGCATTTTTATTTCTTCTGCAAATGCTTGTGTCTCCTACCTTGTCTTCCAGATTGTGTAATTTTCTCTTATTTTTTTTAAATCAGTTTTAATTAGACTTGACAATGTTTCAGCTGGCACCGTCTATATCTGTTTTGTCCTTGGATCTTTCTGTACCAGTCACTGCAGTGTAACCTATTCTAGTGCAATGCCTGTTGCTTTTGCTGTTGCTTCATCTACAGATTGCATAGCCACTTGCAATATCTAATGAAACAGAGAGAATGAAATTCAATTCTAATAGTCCTTACAAATAAAGATGCAACCTGATCTTGCTATGGATTTTATTTGTACCTGAGTAGTATGGAATATTCCCCTGGACTTATCCAGCTTAAGGTTTCTGTCATTTTTTTTTTCTTTCTAGATTAAAAATGCCCTCTGTGCATTCTGTACTCAGTACAGAGCTAAAAGAAAATTTTAATTTGGTATAAATGCCTGAGACCTTCTCAGCTAGAATCTTGAAATGCTATTTTTAATGAAATGAGCCTAAGGCTAGTACTTGAGAACAAGTTCAAAGATTTCAGTCTTGCTCAGATTTGAAGATTTTATAATCCTGATAATTTGAAGACATTTTGAATTCCTTTTGTTAGAATTGGTCACGACTGCACATCAGGTTAAGAATAAGCTTAGTGAGACTGTCTGCAAAGTATTGATTTTCTAATTTTAAAAAATTTGCATAATTATGCAAATTTGCATGATGTGTCTATGTACATATCAGGATCTGTCTCTTAAGTGCAAGAAGTAGTAAGCTGACATCCTAGCAGTATAGTAACAAAAGAATAACAGGTGGTGAACTTTTCCCTGCAACATTTATCTCATCAGTGAATTACAGTTCTGTTGTTCTACTGTAGCTACACAATTAGAACAGAGAATCAGGCTTCTGGTACCATTGATGTGTGAATCTAAGTGTATTTGGAACCTGTGGATGCTGGCTCTAGTGCCCCATGGGTGAGAATTTTTCTGTATGACATCCTGACTTTGCTGCTTTTGGGTATGTCTCATGTTTTCCTGGAAGGGGCCAGGGGTGTAAATATTGGCGCCAATGCATGAATTGCTGTGCTAAAATCCAATAATGTGAATGCTCACACTCAGTGCTGTCTGGGGTGTGGACTCTTCAACAACTGGAGTGTGGAATTGTGAATTCTGACTGTGATGCTCTGGAGCGTAGTTCCTGTTGGGAATGGAGTCCTGGAATTTGAATGTAATGTTTTTTAATAAGAAAATAGAGAGAGGAAAAGAGAAAAATCTGGATTCACACTGTCTCTACAGCGTACCCGTCCTCTGTCTGCCAGCGATGCTGAAGTTAAAAGCTCGATGCCCTTAGGCAGGGAAAAAGCAACAGGAAAGCATAGCAGCTCTGTGGTAGGCCTGTCTATGGAGGAGGTAAGTAGACTATTATATTACTTTTATTTACCTTGGCTTTCATTCAGTATGTGGGGTTATTTGCTCAACAAAGAGCAAGTGCGCGTATATGAAAAACATGACAGAAGATGTATAATTCTAAAAACAGAATTGCTTGCTTTTACTGCTGGTACTGTCCATGCCCTCAATTATGCCAGGTATGCTTGAAGCAGTGATAGGCTCCTTTGGAATTTAAACACGAGACAAAATTTCTTAAGGATGTCATATGTGCCCAACCCCTTGACTGAAACTCAGAGATTTTTGTAAGGTTCATTTTTGATTTTATCTGTTTTGCTGGCTATTTTCTTTCTTTTTTTTTTCCAGATAAAAGTTCTTAGGAGAGTGAAAGAGGAAAATGAACGGAGAGGAGGCTTCATCCGGATATTCCCTACCCCATTAACATGGGACCTTTATGGGTAAAAATAACAATCCATTAAGATAGCACTAATGCTCTGTGTTGAGGGATATTCTGTGTTGGGTATATGTAGATCACCCATCCTGGTAATCAAAAAGACATATTGAAAGTTTTGGTAGAGCTTATTTTAGTGTTGAGGAAGCTTTTTTCTGATCCCTTGTTTTTATCAGCTGCTGCTTTGCCTAACTGCATCCCATGGAAAGCTGTCAAAAATTGCTTCTGGTGTTGCTTTTCTGTTAGAATAAAAGTGTCTTCCCTTCAGGTAATCCATTGTGGCTATCTACTTTTATGTCCTAGAGCTGCATACTATGTACTCTTGTCATTAGGCCCTAAATGCCATATAGGACTCACTCACTCTGAAAGTGATACTATTGTAGACTTTTCTGATTTTATTTTTGCAATCTGTAATGTTTTCTGTCTCTTGCATCACCAAGAACTTTAGCTGAAAAACGATAGCTCTCCTCTTTTCCTCTTTTCTGTTACGGTACAGCATGTCATCTGAATCCAGTTCTGGGATGTTTTATACAGGTCACTTATTTCTGTGTTATGCTACCTTTCATTGTGTTGAGCTCTGTCTTGATAATCCTGAATTTTGTTTTTCTAGATCCTTTTTAGAGCACAAGACATCAATGAACTACATGCTGGCTACACGTTTGTTTAAGGACAGGTAGAAAGCTTTTCTGTTTGGGAGCGAGGTAAAGGGCATGAACATCATGAAAAGGATTGATTCATCACTTATCCAATGTTACAAACATCATTCTGTGATTTACAGGGGTGGTGATAGTTGCTCATCTTTTCTGTGCGTGTGAGGTGACTGTGGAGGTTTCTCATATTTACGTGTTGTACTTCTGAATCCAGAGGCACAAAGGACAATGCACAAGTCATGGGAATCATTGGAGCACAAAGATTACTATAGACGTGAGAAAACTTTAGGCACGTAGGTTTTACTATGAAGGGATTATAGGTCTTTGCTTACCTTTTGTGTCAAATTTCAAGTTACATTAGAGCTTGTCCTCATGTAAAGTAAGCACTGAAATTGACTCCTCCAATGGTTTAGTATCCCTGTGTCTTGATCTGTGCAAGCATGATTTGATGCCTGTTTCTCTGGACTGTGCTTGGGTGGAAAAGACAGTTCATGCCACTAGCTGAACTTCCATTGAGAGTTGTACGCAGTATCTTTCACTCTGTTTAATGCCCTTCCTTCTCAATAGTTCTTCTTACCCAAATTTGAGATCCACTATAAAGTAATTACCAGGTAAGGATAAGGAGGCTGAAAAAGGACACAATATTTACAGAAACTCTTCCTGCATGAGCAGTGTACAGGTTTTTTTTTCTCTGTGTACATTCAGGGATGTGTCTAAAGAATAGTTCCAAATGATGCCTTCTCCAACTTAAGCCTGACAAATGTAAGCATCAGTTCTAGTACAGCTGCTCAGATTTCCTCTTTTGGAGCTCTTTTTTTTTTTTTCTCCTTTAACAGAGAACTCAAGTGATTCTGTAAATTTGGTCCTTTCTTTGTACATATGAAAGACTATGTAGGCTTTTTAATCCAGGCTGATACAGAATGGAAGGTAATTTTTGATCTTTTTCCCTTTATAGGGGCAAGATGAAAAGAGACTTCATCACTGGAAGATCCCGGTAAATGGTGTCTTAATTAAATAACTTGTACTTTGTAGGACTTGTTCTAAATTTAGATTTGCATAACTTTATCCTTCAATCTGTGTGTCAACACCTTTTCTGCCTGAAATCCATGAAAATAATTTTAGAAACATAAATACAGTGAGAAAAGAATACACCCATATGTGGAGAGCTCATGTTGGATTGGACCTTAAAATTGCTCTTCTTCCCACTTTGGTATTCCTGCCATATTTATAAGCCTCATCATTGAGTTCTCTCAAAAGATCCTGTAGTGCATGAGGGTTTTGGGCTTCGTATACCCATACTTTGTTAGATCTAAAAGATAAATGAAGTAGCAAGAATTTTCTGTTGATGTTTACACTTAAATCATAGAGAGCACTTTTCTGGAACTTTGTGCACTGGCAGAAAGTTGTTACTCTTGTATGTTTTCCTTAAGAAATCTGGCAGAGCTCCTTGTCCCTTGGTTTAGGCAGAGCTTGTAGAAAGTTTGACGTTTTCCGCTTTGATTATATTAAAATTCTTATTTCTGACCAAACAGTGAAGAACAAGCGATCTACATAAATGGTTCAGATGATTGGACTGAGGTCCATGTGCTCTCTTTACATCCCCCTCCATTATTTTGTACTCTTGCAATTCAGTTTTCCCTGTTAATTGTGCCTTGTAGCTGCTGCTGATTTCCAGCTGCTGACGGACAGATACTATTCAGTCATGAAAGCATGACACTAGATAAGTGCATCCTGGGGCTTTGAGAGATGATGTTCTGTAAAGTACTTGCAAAACTCTGCAAACATTTGTAGACTTAAATAGAGCAGAGTTAGACTGATGATAAATATTTCTTCCCTGTATCAGGAAAGAAAGTTTCTCGAAGAAATTTGATCTACTAGATCTCTTGTATCATCAGTAAGAGAAGTACAAAGAGAGATTGAGGGATGTCTCTGTACTATGCTTCCCAGAGCAGGTCTTAATGGAAGGCTGGATATGAGGATGGAAACTGTGGGCTCTCACGCTCTGTTTTATGAGAGAAAGCTTGTTTCGTTGGAGTTACGGAAGCGTCGGCGATGTCATGGCAAGGCTAGAGCAGCACAGATGAGATCATCAGGTATGCATGGCTAGAGTTTTAGATGAGCAGCTAGTCAAAGGAAAGCAAGTAAGAGACTTACTCATTTGAAATGTGTGTGAATGGAGTTGTTCTGGTTTCAAGTGTTAATAGTTTTCACTTCATTCCTCTTCTGAGCTTCTTGTTTTTTACTGCCTAAAATTTCATTCCTACCTTTCCACATCATGTGTATATGATTAAAGGGAATCAGTACTTGCTTGGAGCTGAGCTTGTGGTTACATTTTGGGTAAAAAATTCAACTGTATATGTGCCTCTGTAGTTCTCCAGCTTTTCAGAGAAAGATGAGACCTTGCAGATTGGTTCTCCTACATAGCAGTGACTCTAAGCTGTTGGAAAGAGAAATCCTTCTTATCCAAGCAGATGTTAAAAAAAACTTTAAAGGGTACAGAGGTGAATGATCCTCACAGGTGACTGTTCCTGAAGCCAGTATCTGAACTCTTTCTAGTAGCTGTGTGATACTGGCTACAATGGGAGAGATTGTACATTAGAAAATTATTTTTGCTGCTATGTTGAGGTATATGATCTTTCCTGACACGTGGAAATTTAGATTTGTGCCTTTGGTTTATTTGATACAGCGAATACAAAAAATGAGTGTATATATATGTTAAGTATGGGTCAGTACATGCCAGTAAACATGTAAGAACCAGGATAAAATATAGGAAAATACCTTTGTCTCTTTGATTTTGTGGTTTTGGTTTTTTTTCCATTTGTAAAGTTAAAACAAGAATCTTGGTCTGTCTTCTCTGATATTGGGAAAATGGTCTTCTCAACTGTTCAGTGCACAAGCAGAAAGACAGAAAGGATAATATAGGGCAGTGATACTTAAGATTATGTTCTATAATGGTGGTGTTCTGTCCTAGCAGAAAAGAGTGTAGGGTTAAACCAAAGGAAAGTCCTTTCCACTTTTTTTTTTTTTTTTTTTTTTTTTTTTTTTTTTTTTTTTTTTTTTTTTTTTTTTTTTTTTTTTTTTTTTTTTTTTTTTTTTTTTTTTTTTAACTAGCATAGGTGATTTCTCCTCTACTACAGGCATATCAGAATCAACAAAGCTGTCCCTCAAGTCAGACACAGAAGGTGAGGAGGAAGAGGAGGTGGATGCAGATGAAGATGAAGAGCTAGATAGAACTGTTTGCTCTGTTTCGGACACCCAGGTGAAAAACAAGCCAAAGCTCTCTGACTCGGTGAAAACTGCTTGTAAAGAGAGGTTACCAAAGAAACTTGACAAGAAAACTGGAGATGGAGAAGAGCTGTTTCTGCAAAAACTAGACTCACAATCTCGGTTTAACTTGCTTCAGATTCTTCAAAAGCATGGAAACCTGAGGTGAGAGATAGCTGCATTTTGCCTTTAGCTTTGACTTGCAGCTGATACTGTTTAAAATACAGAGTATGTACCTTTAGTGCCACATTTTAACTGTGAAGAGATAAGACATTAGAAAAGGGGCCTGGATTTTTGTCTTACTGTGGGCTACCTTAACAACTCGTTGGCACAGAAGGGAGATTGTTGCCAAGTCTGACAGTTTACCTAAATGCCTGACCTGCTGGATCAGTAGAAAGCATAACTCGTAGTTTCCATTGCTATTCTTTAATCTGGTGATGTAACCTGGGTTTTTTTTGTCAATTCAGACTTCTGAAATGCCTCTGTCTTAATGCAAGATGCCTGCTACTGAATTCTAAACTTTGTCTTCTCATTCTTTGCATTTGCCATGAAGTGGATATAGATATATGTTAAATTTTCCAAGAACACTTGGGTAAGAATATGTCAGTACCGATCTCAGTGCTTTCTCTCCATAAAATTAGTTTTCTCATTTTTGTTTTTGATAGAATTTTTACCTCTGATAATAATTTCTGCTCAAGGTCATTGCCTGCTTGAGAGCAAGATTAGGAGGTCATTTGAGAGTGACTAATGACTGAAACATCTCGTTGCATGTTGTTGAATATGACGTTGTAGAACAGAGTATATTCTGATGCCTGGCTCTGTTGCTTGGAAAAAAGAGAGGTACTGGAGGAGATTTTGTGGAGTAACACCAACCAGGGTCCTGCTAGATGTTTTGAAGTTTGATCCTCCACTTGAATGTGGATAGAAGAACTGTCTAATTGCAGATGGACAGAAAGGCTAACAAGGCCTGATCATGTATATCTGTGTAAGAGGATGTAAGACAAGAAGCAGTATTATGTTTTCTGTGAAAAATGTCCAAAAGTAGAGAAAATAAATGCATCTTGTTGTTGCTTTCTCAGTTTAGTTTCTGAGAGAAATTATGGATTATCCAGTGGATTTGGGGATTATTCTGATGTCTTACTGTGGCAAGGGCATTTGTTCTTCTGACAGGGAAAACTCTGAAACCTGTTTTGAGGATGAACATAGCAATGCTGTGTCTATATCTACATATATATAGAACTGATTCCTGCCAAGAATGTAAGTTCTGTCTGATGTTCCTGGCAGAATCTTACTCAGCACCCAGCACTGCTGGGATTCCCCACAGAGATGTGTAAGGCTTGTGGTTGACCCCATGTTCCAAGATTGTGCTGGGCTTGGCCCCATCTGATCTGTCATTGATGAAAACTCTGCTTGTGGGTTCAACAGAGGAGCTGAAGTAATGAAATTTTCATTCAAGAGAAACCAGGCCTGTTTTGGTCAGTTTTTGTAAGTGCTAGGACTTCCTTCTCCTTTAGTCAGCCTGATGAGGAAATTTCTCCATCTTCCACCCATGGGGTGTTACTGATAAAGAGGTGACGGTCAAATGAAACTTGTTCCCCCAACTGTGCCATTTCCAAGGAAATAAAATGAAAAGGGATTTATGTATTTCTGCATTTAAGACTTCAGGTTTCAATATCCTACACATGATAGGAGATGCAGTGTTATACAAGGACCTTCTTCAGTTTTTAGTCATAGAAGTATCAGGTGCAGGCAAAGAACTGTATCATTGTGCTGATGCTGATAACAGAGGCTCCTTAATTTCTAGTTGAACTCCTGATCATGAGATGTTTGAGTTGCACCTAAAACAAACCTGGCAGCCCTACAAACCTCTGAGAAGAAGACCCTTTTCTGATATAGTGTGGCCTGATGTAGACAGTGTTGGTTCTTAGCTAGGATTCAGTGTGTTCTCCTCATGTTCCACACATGGGGAAAAAGAAGGTATGTGTGGTGACTAGCAGCATACGGAGTTCAGAGGTGTTACAAGGCCTACTGTGCATTCTGGAGTTGTCTGAAGTTCCTGGAAGACAGGAATTGTAACCAGGTATTTTCATCAGGTTTTAGTTGATAGTACAGGTACAGCTATCCACAGAGGATGTTAGTTTGAGACTCTTGTGAACTTATCATTTGCTTAGCCTCTCTTTGGCCTGGTATGGTCTTCCAGAAGCATCAAAAGTTGGTGATTAAGCAGATGTATGGATACTTCCGACGTCTTTTATTTTAACTTCAGTTCTTACCAAAATTGATGCATTGGTCACTCTAAGTGCTACTATGTTGTATGATTTCTGTGGAACACTGTAAACCAGAAAGGCTAAATTGCTGCACGGAGTTTTTAGTGCTATTTGAGAGACTCAGGTACATGGAGTTATGAGGATCATGTAAGTATCTGTGAATATTCCTAAGAAGCAGAGAACAAGTAGAGAAAATATGGTGAGGTTCCTCAGGAATCAGTCTGAGCCTGATTTTAATAATCAAGACAAGAATGACACAAAATGTAGAAATGTGCTAATGAAATTTGATGATGGAAAAGATTTGGGAGTTATTACCATGAGAGAAAAGTAATGGAATAAATATGAGAAAAACTGGATGGCCTTGAGGATAGGAATAATATAACTAGGATGAAATTCAGTAGCACCAAGTTGCAAGGGCATGCTTTTAAGAATTAATAATTTGCAGCAGAAATTCTGTCGACTAGATGTTCATCAACTGGAAATTAATTATAAGGAAAAATATCTTGGATGCTGGTTGATCACAGGAGGTTTGCAGAGCTCTAGCTCACACATAAAAACACCAAATGTGATTTAGGGTTTATCACTTGACATACTTCTGAGACTTCCTGTGGAGTATTGTATACAGACACTATCACTCATATTCCTGGAAGGTAAATTGTGAGTGGAGCAGTCAGGGGTGAGCTGTTAATCTCATCGTGCCACCAGTGTGGGTGCTTTGTTAGAAGACACTGAAAGGTGTGGATAGTTCACCCTAATAAAATGAAAACTATGAAGGGATATAATTGCTGTGCATAAATACATTCAAAGTGGAGAAAGAAAATGCAAATATAAACTGTTCATGAATGAAGCTGGGCTGGGTAGTAAAAGAAGGTTCCTAATTACAAAACTAGTAAGTTCTGGAGTAATATTCCAGGAAAGTAATGGATTCAAAAGTCTAGTTTATTTTGAGATGAAACTTGATAATTTATTAGAAAATATTAGGACATTGCCGGTGATAGAAAGAGGAATGAATCTATCTGTGACACTAAAGCTGCTACATCCTTATGAAAAGCTTCTAGCAACTATGGGGAAAACTATGAGGAAGAGCAGAGACTGCAAGAGCAGAATGCTTGAGGATAGGATTTAGACCATGATGACGATGAACAGAATTAGGTAAAGCTTTCAGCAATTTCTCTCACAACAAATGCATATGCTAAAATGACTGCCATTGTGAGGGAATGAGAAGTGATGTGTCACTCCCAGTTCTTTCCTCAGTTCATGCTCACAGCTTCCCAACATGTTCAGCCAGCTGCACAGCACATTTTGCTGATGTTCTCTCATTCTTCAGTGGTGCCTTGCTCAATGAAATTTGGCTTGTGTCCCTAGGCCAGCAGGGGAGGAGCTCACTTTCACAGATTTAATTCTTTCATTTCTAATGGGAATTACAGGGCCTTTGTTATAACTCTGGCACCAGTACCAAGCCCTTTGTTTATTTTATGGTCTGTTGTTGTGTTCAAAATGTTTGTGAAGACAGAGGCCCAGCAGAGCCTTGAATTTGGTTTAAAAATACACAGTTTTGCTGATGTTCATGTTACTGCCTTTTGGAGAAGAGTAACTAAGGTTGTAAAAGGCAGGAAGAGCATTCCATTTTTAGAAATGATCTTAGAACTTAAGAGTATCTGCTGTCTTTTATATCTCCTGCAATACCTATCCTATCTTAGTGAACTGAAGGTCTGCTTGAAAATGCTGGTGGGGGTGAAGGGGTCCCCCTTTGTTTGAGCATCAGCATTAATGCACCTTAGGAGGTCCTTGCTGACTGCACTTTGGACCATAAGCTGTGCCTGACTTCTGTAATTCTTCCCATTCCTACTCTGAACATAGCTGATTGATCCTTTTGGCCCACAGCAAAGTGCAAGCCCGTACGGCTTTCTCTGCCTATCTACAGCACGTTCAGTTCCGACTGATGAAGGAGGCTGGTGACCAGATCCAGAATCCTGCCTGGGCTGCCAAAGAGGATGAGCAAATGGTAAGAAGCTTTGTGTTGGCCAGATTGAAAAGCCAAGCTGAAATCTGCCTGGAGAATTTTGAGGTCTGTTCCCATCGTTGCAAGAATAGAAATCCAACTGAGATGGTGGTTGTCTATCTTTGTCCAGCTGCCAGTGCTGTATTTTTAATATACAGATTAGAAAGGACTGCGGACTGACCTCAGAGCAATGATAGAGTACACAGCTCTTAGTGACTGGAGTGTGATTGGTGTTCACACTGCTCAGATCTTTTGCTGGTTCTCCTCCATTGATGTCTGAGCTTACCTGCTCTTGAATTCTTCTTTTAAAGATTCTTTAAGATGACTTGTCAGGATCTGGTTTCTACTGCGATAAACAAAATATACATCTACTCAAATGGAACAGGACCCAGTTAAGCTTTTTCTCCTATGCAATATTTTACTGTATCCAGACATCTGCACTTAGGAATCTTCCTTGCATTCTAGGTAGAGGAAATGAAAGTAAAAGCCACTGAGAAGAGAAAATAAAAGTGATTAATTTTTCTAGGCAGTGTTTTAAGGCCCTGTATTTGATGTGTATGCATTTTAAAGAGTGCTGCAAGCCCAGATACCCTCACAAACCTTCCTAAAAGAGCTTTGTACAATAGACTCTTGAGCTTTCTGCATATTCAAATGTATTTTCACTGAGTGCATGTTGCAGGGAAACAGCCAATGCAGTTCAGAGATAAAATTGCATGTCAAGAATAATCAGTCAACTCAGTGGAAAATGTTACCTCTACTCTTTCCAAGTGGAAATTAAAACTGGATTTTGAGAGTCACTTTGTCTGCTGTACTGTGAAAAATAATGTTTAAAATAACAGATCAAACCAGCCTGGAGTAATGGCAGTGAGAGGCAAGCTGTGAAATCCAATAGTTTGGCTGTGAGGCTGCTCATTTATGCATTAATAGAACTCCTAAGCAAAAGCAAATCCAGAGGGGAGACAGAAGGGGTTCAAAACACCCACAAGATGCATCTTGACTTAGGATCTGCCTTGCCATATGTTTTTCCCACCAGAGGTCAAATAGACATGGTGAGGGATTGAAATTACACAGCTGTAAATGTAGTCATATATTACTGTGGAGAGAATGTGGCAATAGTATATATATAAAAAGTGATGAAATGAGGCTGCCCCAGTGGAGTGATACCTGTGGAGATGTGTGGGGATTTCTGACAAAGATCTTCTTCCCTGTGGTAGTGCTGAGAGGGTTTTTATGTCAGTACACTTTATCACAGGCCTCCTTTAACACATTGCAAGTTCTTTTATGGAAATGTTCTCCTAAAGTATTTACAGGTTGTTCTGTGTTGTTGTTGCTGCTTTTTGCTGCTTGGTTATTTTTTTTTCCTTTATCATGCTTTTCAAACGAGCACTTCTCAAGTGTTCGAAATTCTGACCCACCTCAGGCAAGGCACACCGTTTTCCTCTCCCAACTTGGTTTTGTAGAGCTATACTAAAAACATGTATTGCAGAATGCTTTTGTCTGCCAGTTTCGTCTTGTTTTCTCAGGAGATATCTTTCGTTCTTGCCACTCGTTAGCTGCTGTAGTACCTCTGTTCTCTTCTCCCCACATCTTGCAGATGGTCCATTGTTAACTCCATCTCTCTTGCTTACAGGAGCTGGTGATCCGCTTTCTGAAGCGAGCTGCCAGCAATCTCCGTCAGTCCTTGAGGTTGCTGCTCCCCAGCCGTCGTTTAGGACTAAATGATCGTCGTCGTATCCTGGCTCGCCAGCTGGGCGAGTTCATAATCTGTTATAACAAGGTGACTAATTTTTTTCTTAATTTTTCTTTTGGTAGCTCTTTTGATTTCTGTTCTCTTTTTCCGAAGTGTCTCTGAAGGCTGTATCAAAGGCAGTGTTCTGTCATTTACGCGACCTGCTTGCAGCTGTGCATCCAGTAATGGTACTTTGCTGTTCAAATTGTCTGATAGACAACAGTATTAGTACATTATATATGCAGTCCAGTAATCATATGCATAAAAAGAGGTGCAGAAATGAAGACGAGTTTAATTGGCAGTTTGCTCTTTCTTTGCCTTGTCTTCGATTCTAGTGCTTTATAATGGCTCTTCCCACTTCTTATTTGTATGGTGCTTCTTTAGAGATAATTTTTTTGTACAGAACATTATGAAATATGTATTTTACTATTTGTTTGGTATATGGAGGGACTGCTACCTATCTGTAGTGAGGGACTGCTACCTATCTGTAGTAAGGGACTCTGTGTGCTCAGTGTTAAGGACACATAGGTCATAATTTAAATAATTCGCACATCTTTAGACGTAGAAGATGCTGTTCTTAGCATAGTGGTCTCATGTTACTCCTTGTTTTGCAAGGGCAGCTTCCCCTTTCCTTTGCCCCCTAGCATTTCTTTAGTGTTAGAACAAGTGTAATTGAAATTTTGCTTTGAGGCCTTCAAGCTTCTACTCATTAGGAGAGAGGATGTTCACTTACATTAGCTAGTCAGAATTGACATCTGGTAACTTGATCTGTCTAAGCAAGGTTGGTATGGAACCAAATCTGTTCCAGGGAGTGCCTTGTATGCCTAATGCTCACTGAATTACTGTGTTAGGAGTAACCACAAAACACTTGGGTGGCTCTGTGGTCAGTGAAGAATGCAGCTGCTTTGAATATAATTTCCACTCAAATTGCATTCAAACATTAGGATTTTCTGCTAACTCTTGAGTAAATTCACAAAATAAAGCTGTGCAACTGGTAATAAATCAGTGCATAAACATTTTCTCAGAACAAGTGAGAACATATCACTTGATGTTTTGGGGCATACATGTTTAAGCCACTGAGAGACTGTTAGGCTGTGAGGTTTTTTGATGTCTGATTCCAGCATACAGACTTCTTTCATTGACTTGTAACTTCAGATTTAGTAGGGACTCCTACTAGCCACTATGTATCTTCTGTAATGAAAAAAATGCTACCTCCAGCAAACTAAGTAAAAAGTATCACATATTGTCCAGAGAGTTACTTAAGTAGTGAAGGGTAGAGACATGTTCCATATTGATTTTTTTCTTCCCTGTCTTGAGTTATCTTTCGAAAGATGTATCTGACTGTTTTGTTCTGGGAATGCTCAGGGTACCAGCAGGCAGAAATGAAGTGGAGGTCTGGTCAGAGATAGCTTTTAAACTGGTATTGGTAATTCAGACAGGCCTGAAGCTTTTTTTTAATGAATAAAAATATTTGTGTTAGTACAACCACTAGTGTCAGCCAGTTCTACTGGTGTAAAATAGATCATTTGTATCTGAGAGCTTGCTCTCATTTTCACGTGCAAAGGCTTACCACTTACTCCAGTATATTTTAGTGTATAAGTGCATATTTGCCACAGGCTGTACTGTTTTACTTTCTTAGTTTTTGCTAAAGCAGTGTGGTTTTGGTATGTATATAAGCCCTCAGCAATTGGCTGCATGACAAAAGAGATTAACTCAAGAGAAATACAGTTTACAGTGGAAAATGTGGATGTCATCAATAGAAATCCTTGATTCGGTTTCTTTATTATAATTTTATATTTTTTCCCTCCTTCCTGAATATCTGTCTACTTTTGGGACAAATGCTCAAATAAAAGCTGTTTTGAGGAACTCTATTTGTGACATAAACAACAAAAGTAGAGAGGGGACCTAATATCTATAAATAATGATTTTAATTTTTTTTCTCCTCCATACTTCCTTATGTCTCAGCAAAGAGTGTATTTGAAGGAACACGCATATTTATGAAGGCTTGATCTTTTCTCAGCAAATAAATTATGTCAGGTGGAAGAATTAAGAGTTTAGTGTATGCTTAGGATGCTGTCAAGGGGGCTCTCTTTATTTATTCATGCTCTTGCGCATAGTGAAATACTTATAATTTGGCTCTTTGGCGTTGACGTTCTTTTTTCTTAGATCCCATGGAACTGTTTTTTGTATTCTTGGAGCTGTAGATATGCCATGGAACATAGAGACACTTACTGATACTGCTTTTAACAGGAAACGGAGCAGATGGTTCAGAAAAGATCAAAAAAGAAACAGGAAGAGGAGGAGGAGGGAGTGAATCCTGAAGGTTTTCAGAACTTTATTACCAAAGCAAGGTAAGAATAGATTTTATTTGCTTTGATAAAGGATCTCCAAGCCCTGAAGGTGATGAGGTTATTCTAAAGATGATTCGATGGATCTAAAGGCCTTTAGATACCTTTACTGACTCTAGGACCTCTTCCTGCTGGGGAGTAGAGAACTTGTCTTTTCTCTTGTCTTCCTTCCAGCAACCTAACCTCACTTGTAACATCAGCGTCTGGTGCATAAAGAAGGATATACGATAGATGTTTTGACCATTAAGTAGCTTCCCAAAGGACAGCAGTGGTTGCCCTGGCCTGTGTAAATTTCAAATGGATGCTGGTGAACTAATGATTTCCTTTTCTGTGACACTGGAGTAAATACGGCAATACTTTGGAAGGAGAATGAAACTGGAATTGCTGCTCAGATAATCTTGAGCTGCTGAGGCCAAACAGTAGTTATGGCTCTGATGCTTAAGTTTCTTCTCTTATGCTTGCTCCCTCTCTTCAGGAAGTCTCCAGGTCTGGACTTTGAGATGAGCAAGGATGGGAGTTAGGCCTCTTATTTGGCCTGCTAAGGCAGTTCAGTGCAAACAGTTACTTTCACAATGAAAAAGCAGCATTTTCTGTCTCTGAGCTTTGTCTGCCTTAAAAGAGTCTAGTAGGAAGCACATTTTGAAAATAGTTAAGTATTGGAGAAGAGACTGAGGGGACACTTTGTTGCAGTGTACAACTTTCTCATGATGGGAAGAGGAGGGGCAGGCACTGATCTCTTCTCTGTGGTGACCAGTGACAGAACCCGAGGGAATGGCCTGAAGTTGTGTCAGGGGAGGTTTAGGTTGGGTATTAGAAAAAGGTTCTTCACCAAGAGGGTAGTTGAGTGCTGGAACAGGCTCCCCAGGGAAGTGGTCACAGCACCCAAGCCTGACAGAGTTCAAGAAGTGTTTGGATGATACTCTCAGGCACGTGGTGTTACTCTTAGGGATGGTCCTGTGCAGGGCCAAGAGTTGGAGGCAATGATCCTTTTGAGTCCCTCTTAAATCAGCATAATCTGTGATTCTGTGAAGTATTCCTTAAGGCCTGTAGCATTGCATGAAAACCAAGTGTTATTACAGCCATCTGACTATGGAGAGGTCTGAAATTGTTCAGTGAACTGGAATTACTTTTTCTAAGTCTCTGATTCTTGAGCACTAAAAGTAATTCCTCTTGACTCCATTATTTAACCCATGTATTACATACTTATATGGGCAATGACCCCTTGTGCTGGTTTAAAGGTAAACCAGCAGGGGAAAATGAACTCAACCCAAAAGAGAGATTATAAGTCAGAATAACAATTTAATAAAATAATACAATAAGTACAATCATACAGACAAACAATCGGTTTTAACCCACAAAACCCAAATGTATAACCCAGCACCCTGGGGCATGAACAGAGTGGTGTTCATTGGGCCCCCTGAGTCCAAAGTAAAGGAGAGGGGAAAAACCTGTTGGTGAGAGTGCTGTTGCAGTCTGGTCAAAAGTGGTGATTGCAGTCCGGTCGAGGGTGGTGGTCTGCAGTCTGGTTGAGAGTGGTGGTCTGCAGTTTGGTTGAGAGCGGTGATCTGCAGTCTTCCTCTGGATCACACGAGTGGTTAAAAAAGTCCCAGGACTCCAAGATTATATTTTCTCCAGTTCAGGCAGGAATGCTCAGTACTTCCCTCAGGGCGGGGGGTTCCTCAATGGGCGTGAGGACAAAAACACCCTTCTATCTGGCAGGCCTCTTAGCACCTAGTTTGTAGCCTGAGGAGTCAGGCTGCTCTGGGCAGAGGGTGCGAATAGTCTATTGACAACAGTTTCTGGGAAATGGCATGGAAGGCTATAGAATACACAGTTTTGGGTTACACCCATCCAGTGATGAACTGGTCTCAGCTGTCCTAACTAGGACACCCCTGTCAATATCTGGACAGGTAGATTTTATGCTCATCTGTTTTCTCTTGGAAGATTGATGGTCAGTGCTGCTTTTTCATGACCAGTTATGAAACCATTCTTTCTTTTTCTGTGTTCAGATAGCGCTCTTGGTGAATGATTAGAAGTGGGTGATATCTGAGATGTCTTAACTAAGTTCAGGAGATTTCACAGTCTCTGTTGATGATACATTCTCATGAAAACAAGTAATTTTACCTTTTGCTAATATAATTGATGGAGTCATTACTCTAACAGATTTATAGGCTCCCAGAAAAATCTTATTGCTTTTCAGATAAAGATGTCTGACTACCGTACACCACAGGATCTACTCCTCTAACTGGAATGCATATTACATAGGCCTATGGCATGCTCTTGCTCCTCTGACCTTTCTGGCCACTAAAATGTCTGTTGTGTCCTAGTGCAGGTCATTTTCCTTTTTGTCAGAAAAGCTAAGAGGTGGCTGTATGGGACAGAACTGCATACTCTTGTGTTTCCATGTTATTGGCTGTCATGCCATTGTGGCCTGATGCGCAATCTAGGCTGAGGATGGAGATTTTTGCTAGATCATTTGCCTGAATGATAAAGAATGGTTTGCCAATGATCAGACAATTTCTGGTGATGATCTTTCTGTTTCTTATTAAGTATCAGGTATGTTTGAAAACTCTGGTATCTGACACTACTTGGCACTGTGCTTGAAGCTAAAATCAGTGAGCTAGTCATTTGGAGCAAAGCAGAGGGGATAGATTTCCACTTTGAGTGTTTGTTCTGCAGTACAGTGGAGAAAATGGGTGAAAAATGTTGCTTCTTAATTGAGATTGTCTCCTTGACTCTCTAACTTTGATACCACATGGATGGCACTGTGTTTAGTTACACATATGTTACGACCATTGATTCTAAATGTCCTTAGTGCATTGTAAAAGCGTATACTTACACTGCTAACTTTGCTTTAAAAGCTTACAGCACCTTTTCACCAACAACTTCTCATTCTTACATTTCCTTTTCACCTCTATTCTCATTGGTTTGGGAGAAAAGGTGAACTTCGCAGCATGCCCTGAAGGTCCAAACTGCAATGTATCAGCTTTAGGCATTGCTGTTACCAAAACTCAGGCTAGCTAAGACTAGTTATACATGTAATATGCAGAGGATATTTTGAAGGATTCTAACTGTTACTATTCTAATTTATATTCCTGTTTTATGTTTTCTTGTAGTGTTACTGGCACTGTACTTTGTGCTTTTGGTGTTTGCTCTGCCATATAGCCATTCAGTAGTGTTGAGGCAACACTATAAAGCAAAAGGAAAGCAAATCAAAACAATTAGAATTACAACTTGCATAAGCTCTAATTAGAATGGCCAAGTAAATGATACTGGTTTGGGACCAATAGGTGTTTAGGATACTGGGGCAGTTGTACTTTCTTCTTGTAAAGAAAATGAGAAACATATGCAAGTTTTCTAAGTTACACAAAAATATTGCCTGCTCTGTTTGTCCTGCAGTTTTGGCTTATTAACAAGCTTTTTCCTTCTCTTTCCTCTTCTCCCCCCACTGCTGAGTAGAAACTACTAATGATGACTATAAAACAGAGGCTGAGCTGAGTTCTCTTGTGAAAAGGTAGCTGCTTGTTCTAAAGGGCACCTGGGGAAGATTCACAAATTTAGCTGTGAATGGAATCTCTCGTGTTGACCCGATCTCCCCAAATGTGTTTGGAGTGTTCACTTGCTCTTTATTTATCCTGGGAAGACTTGAATTTTCTACCGCATAAGAAGATGGCATTTCAGTGGGATTCTCAGGTTTAGCCAAGGCATGTTGCTTTCCTTCTGCTCTTACCCTGCGGAACTGAGCAAGGCATTAGCTTGTCTGGTCTCACCTTTTTTTTCCACTCACCTCTTGAGTCTCGTTATCACTTCTTGTCTTTTACATGAATGCAAAAAAGCGTAGCATCCTCACTCTACATCCATTCTTCTCTCTTTGTTGTAGTGAAAGTGACCTGGAGGAAGTACTGACATTTTACACACACAAAAACAAATCAGCAAGTATCTTCCTAGGAGCAAAATCCACAAGCACAAAACACAGGAACAGCAGTCACCAGGCAGAGAAGCAGCCCCGAGGTGGTAAGTTTTGCAGACAGTTCTGAGATGATGTTGCGAAGACAAATCCAGTTTAACTTCAGTCTGAAAAAAGAACAACCCCTCCATAATGTTATTCAGTTTTGAGGCTGCATATCTTTTTCTTTTTAACTCACTGTTATGTGAAGACTGGGGTAACTGCACTCCTAACTTTGTTGCCTGAAGTGAAATGGAATGAATCTGGACTGGCAATTATGGTGGGTCATGACTGAAATGAAAATGTGCAAACTGAAGCCCATAAGAATTAAAATGAACAGAGAATCCTGAAATCAAAGTAAGGAATGAAAGAAATCAAGGCCTGAATTGTGCTGCCTACAGTGAGCATACTGACTGGAGGGCTGAAACTGTATATTTGAGCCTGATTAGGCATTTCATGGAAGCAGGAACAGTGCCAGACATATATCCAGTACTCCACACTACTATACTTGACAGCTCAATTGTCATCAATAAAGCTGCGTGGTCTACAGGAAATATTGGCAAGAAAGTCTATTATGGCAAGGTTAATTCTGTAGTCTTCTGATGATGATACCACAGTTTGCAATGTTCTACATCCTAACTCCTTGATTTTGTTATAGAGCATCCTGAGGTGGTGGAAAAAATAAAAGGTGATCATCCCAAAAGTTCAGTTGCAGATCTGCCTGCAGAAGGAGCACTAAAAGGCTATAAACCCAAAGAAGTTAAATCAACCTGTAAGTGAACTGGCTTAAATCATCATCAAGAAAAAAAATCAAAGGCATATAGTGTTTTTAATACAGTTTTAAACTAAGGTTGGAACCTTTGGGTTCAAACTGAGAGATTCAAATGCCCAATTTTGGGGAAGATTCTTCAGGTTTTACTTTTAAATGCAGTAGAAGATACTGTAAAGTGGGCACTAGATAAGAGTTAACTGCCTCTCTGTTGGGGGAAGATCTGAATATGGCAGACCTTGAAAGAGGATATTTGTCATGTAGAGCCTTTTCTTGTCTGCTGGTAGATAAGGTTATTTTGGCTTCAGTGTGTCTGAATAGAGGCATATGTGTATTGATATTATCGAAGGATTTAAAAAGCAGCTTTTTCTCATCTAGTGTATTCATTATCTTTCTGTAGTTCCAGAAGGACCCACCTTCTCTTTAAATGCTGAAGTGAAATTACCTCGATGCAGCCGTTCTAGTGCTTCTTCCTCTGTTTCTGGTGCAACATTCCAGAGAAGTACCAGTTCCTGGGTACCGTCTCAGCCTGCAGCCTCTGAAAATTCGCAGGTGGATGGTCACCATTCATTGCCGGCTCCTCCAGTTGCTCCCAGGCTGATTCAGTCCCCACCCCCACTACCCTCCTTGCAGAGCACAGCTTCTGACGGCTCTTCTGTTTTCACAAACTCAGTGTCCAGTGAGACTTGTAGCCTTGCAGGGTTACATCGTTGTCGTCCTGGTAGTTACACCATTGGCCCATTCTCGTCTTTTCAGAGAGCTGCTCAGATCTACAGCCAAAGATTGTCCCGACCATCTTCTGCAAAAGTCGGTGAGTGTTCTGGGATGCATAATAACCTGCTAGTTGAGTACAGAGATGTTCTGGAGTAGGTAAAAATTTTATGTTTCCAGAATTGAATTTTGTTGAATGGTGCTAAATTTCTCACAGGAAGTAGGATTGCAGGATGCAGCCCTTGTTTTGCCAGAGATACCCTTTTATTGACCAGATGAACAGGCAATCATAGAATCATTTAGGTTGGAAGAGACCTTTAAGATCATTAAGTCCAACAATTCCTTCATCAAGTCCTACCAAGTCCCCCACTAAACCATGTCCCTAAAAGCTCCATCTATGTGTCTTAAATACCTCCCTGGATAGTGACTCAGCCGCTTTCCTGTGCAGCTTGTTCCAGTACTTGACAACCCTTTTGGTGAAGAAATTTTTCCTAATATCCAATCTAAACCTTGCCCAGTGCAACTTGAGGCCATTTCCTCTTGTCGTGTCGCTTGTCATTTGGGAGAAGAGGCCAACCCCTACCTCACTACAACCTCCTTTCAGGTAGTTGTAGAGAGTGATAAGGTCTCCCCTCAGTCTTGTGCTTTGAACTCAGCCTTTGAACTTGTTCAGAAAGAGCTGAGAAATTAAATATTGTATATTTTCTTTATTATATTACTGAAATAATTTCACTTTAGTGATTTTAAATGATTTTAGTGATTTTAATATTGTTTTTATTAGCAGAAGCCCTGTCCTCTCTATGTGCTGTTCTTAGTTCTTTGGCTGTCTATCAAGCATAGAAATCTTGTAATGAAACCTTGTAGGTGTTGAATACTTAAGAAGTGTGTCAAGACCTCCAAAAAAGAAAGATCTGAATGACTCGTTACTGAAACTCATTCTCTAGGATGTTTCAGCACTGCCATATCCAAGAGTATCCTAAAACCACGATTTAGAGACTTCTAATCTATCATGCTGGGGTAGAACACAGTTGAGCAATGCAAATTTAGAGTGTAAGGAATGTGAAGGGTAGAAGAAACTGTAGGAATTTGGGTGCAGACTTTAATCTATTTGGAAAGTTTTGGGAACCACATATAGGCTAAGAGCTTGGTCCTGATGATACCTAATTTTTTGTATTTTGAATGATGGTATGTATTTGTTTTAGGTTGTGTGTCAGGGTCAGCACATGTTCACTAGGGTTGCTATATATAATAACAACAGAATCACAGAATACGTAGAGTTGGGAGGGACCCACAAGGATCATCAAGTCCAACTCCTGGTCCTGTACAGGACCAACCCTGAGAGTCACACCACGTGCCTGAGAGTATCATCCAAACACTTCTTGAACTCTGGCAGGCTTGGTGCTGTGACCACTTCCCTGGGGAGCCTGTTCCAGCACTCAACTACCCTCTTGGTGAAGAACCTTTTTCTAATACCCAACCTAAACCTCCCCTGACACAACTTCAGGCCGTTCCCTCGGGTTCTGTCACTGGTCACCACAGAGAAGAGATCAGTGCCTGCCTCTCCTCTTCCCCTCAGGAGGAAGTTGAAGACTGTGAGCTTTCTGGCATTAAAATAAATTTTACTTCCCAGTTGAACAGCTTACTTGAAGAGATCCATTTGCCTTTAGGAAAAACATTATAGATTTAACTTAGGTAACACCAGCCAGTGTTCTCTGGAATTGGGTGCTACTAGATATATTATAATGAAGGGAATACAGGTCTGGAGTTGATAATTGCTCATAGAGTCAATACCCATGAAGAATAGAGGTATTCTGTATTCTTCCTAGTGGCATATCTGCTTTTATGTCTCTGCGATCAGCAGGCTGAGTCTGACATACCGCTGGGTAAGCATATCAAAATGTTTGTTTGATAGGTTTGTGCCATCGCAGTTCAAGTGGGCAGCGTGTGGGCTCAGCCAGGATGCAAAAAGAAGCTGAATATACTTCTTCCCAGAGCAAATGTCATGGCCCCAGTATGGCAGCAGCAGAACTGCAGCAGCTGACAGAAAAGCAAGCAGCCTGTCAGTATTCCCCACCAAGCCACGTCAGTCTCCTTACACAGCAGGTATGTAAGCACTAAAGCTGGAGTCCCTGTGCAAGAGAGAAGTTTGTTGCAGGCTTCTGTGTCAGCACTGGGCTGGGATGAGACATGCTGTAAGGAGTAAATCTCATGAAAATTGATTTCTGTCATCTTGTTGTTTTGAAGTGTTTACAGTAACCAAAATTTTAATTTTCTGTGAGATTACAAGAATGTTGCTGAAGTCCTTTTATAGGAGAAAGTGAGACTGAGCAGAGAATTAGAAAATATGTTATAAAAATGAAATCCATGCCTTGTCTTGTTAAACAATAAACCCAAGTCTTTTCAGATTTGGGCTTCCATGCAATTTGCTTCCTCATTGCTCCAGTGTGTCATCACAGTGCTGGGAATGAAAGTCTGCAGAATGGGTTCTGATGTAAATTCTATATTCCAATAACATTATAAAGACATAATGAAGTACTTACTAACATGGGAAATGATAATTCTTTTGTTAAATGTGGTGATATATATCAAACTTACATTGAGTTCTGGTAGAATTCCACTTAGTTTCATATTTCTTTTTGAGTTATGTCCTAAATGGCTGCACACGTAGACCTTTTTTTCTTCATAAAATACTGTAGTTGTGCTCGTCATAGGTGTTCAAGTTGGACATTTCTTAGTTAATTAAGCTGCCAACTGGAGATTCTCCAGAATAGGCATTTTGCCTTGGAAAATAATTTTTTTTCTCTTTATCTGCTAGAGAAAAACAATTTAAATGTCTTTGTTCTAATTCTTTGGTTTTGGAAGTATTGTTTTAAATTTATGTTTTGCTAAGTTTTCTGAGGCATGTTTAATAGTTGCAACAGCTGCTGCTATTTGCTTCTTTTTGCTTCTTTCAATTTTATTGATATATGTTTGGATTTTTAATATCTGGTTAAATGATTGGCAGTATGTTTATTTCAAAATGTGGGATGCATTTATAACTCTAGGAAGCTGAATGATTTTTCTTTGCAGATAGGTCTTCACCTTTTAACGGATAAGTCACAAAAGCACAGCCCCTTCATGTTGATGGACTCAGCAGAGAATGTGAGCACTGAATATACTAGTGATGCTGAGGACTGATCTTGTACCAGGCCAGATCCTATTTAGGCAAATTGTTCTTGTTCGCTTGTCCGGTAATACTCAGAGCTGTCAGTCTGGTTCTCAGCTGGTTTTAAGTTAAAGTTTGTTGATAAAACTATTCGAAGAAACTTGGTAGTGAAACATTTTCATTCAGGAAATGCTGACTTGTTGAAAGCTAAATATATGATGGAAACTGCCTCCACGGATAAAAGTTAGTATCTAAACAAATATTTGGGAAAAAATTTGAAATTTGTCTGTTTCGTTTCAGTCTTTTCAGAAAGGAACTTTTAAAAATAAATTCGTGGACTTTTTCCCTAAAACCATTCATTACCCGTTCTGCTTTGGTTTCTTAGGTCTATCTGGAGAAACCAAGGAGTCTTCTTGCAGCCATTTGTGTAGCTATTAAATGATTTTTAAACTTCTCTATTCCTACTATGGCTATTTGCTGCTAGTTAAATTAGAAAGAATAGAAAGGGGAATTCAGAGAGGAATTCACAAAGCTCTGCATGGGAAGGACAGTGTAGCTTCCTGGGCACAGCTGTTTTGAGTGACAAAGGAACATATTCCACTGGCAACTGAAACCTGTTTAGCTGTCAGTCAGGCAATCAGTGTAGGTGTACTATCAGCGGAGGGGATAGAGACAGATTGTGCTAAGACCAATATGATCAACAAAATGTCCGTTTATTACAAGAAGGATACTCATTATTTACTGCTTCTACATCCCGACGCATGATCACCTCTTCTACAGTATTGGGTACATAAGAAAAACATACTTTGTTGTCCAGTGCTAACTGGACTACAACAGGTGTCCATATGATCTTGAGGGCACACGTTTACCCTCTTGAAACTCCACCTTCACCTTGGCACTGATCCTCCTTTGTTCTAACTTCAAGGGCTGAAGCCATGTTAGCTACGCAGTTTCTTTTACTGTTTGTGCTTTAGCTATGCCAAGACAAGGCCTACAGAAATGCAGAGGAAATTGTGCACACGCAATCTTTGTTCTCCCAACAGTATACTCAAGTCTGAAACAGGCTATGAAGTACAGGGATAGCTCTGGAAATATGTTGATTATAGTAAATGTGTCTGCATTGCTTTTTGCTTCTAAGTTCTTCCAAGATATTAACCACAGAAGAAGTGGGAAATGTGTAGTAGGAGAATGGAGGTGCTAATTCCCTTCTTTGTGACAAGCAAACAATAGACACCTCAGCTCCTACTAGACATTGTAGGTTTTCTGACTGATATATTTTGTGTTTGACTATGCAGTGTTTTTACAGGCTTTGGTTCAGTAGTGAAATATAGAAACATGGCTTGGGTTGCATTTGTCATCTTCTGTCATCATGAAAAAGATCCATGTAGAAAGGAATTCATGAGTCAATGAAAAGTTTAGAGCTGGAGTTCTGTCTGACAATGAGTTTCCTTCCTGAACCTGTGTCCTTTCATTTCTAGACTTCTGCTCTCTACTGTGGTTCTCCTGGCCATGTTTTTTAAATGATTCCTTTGGAGAAATGAAATCTGAAGCTTGTTTAGTATGAAAATTCAGATTCAGTTGAGGACAGTTTTTAAGGCAATCTGCCTCTTCAGTACAGAATTTATGGCACATAGTAATTCTAAGCTGAGACCATTATTTTAGTCACACTTGAAAAAGCAGTGTTTTAAAAAGTTCAGATGTAGCTGCAAAGCCTGATGGACATAACTAACGCATACAAGTTACTACTTGTGCTTTTTTTTTTAACCTAGATGCATTCTACTCTTCTGTCATCAAAGAGTCATTCTGATTACTTTTTTCATCCAGCCTGACTTTTAAAGCCTGTTTTGCAACAAGGACCAAGGGATTTTGTGAGAAGACAGGGCTGCCATGACACTGAAGGGCAATAAGAGGTATCGGCGTACAATAAAAGCATAATAGTATGACAGCAAGTACCTCTACAGGAAAAACTGGAGGACCCAAGCAAGGCTTGGGCTTATTGTTGAGGGACCTGGAACCAGGACACCTGGTTTTGAGCTACTAGGCATGGGTGTGGATTTGAAGCAGAGAGATTGAATAAACAGAAATGCAGGTATTGCAGAGTAGGCTGGCAGTTTGGAAGGTGATTTGCAGAATGATAGATATCATGGATTTGGGCAGACCAGGATTTGGTCTGAACCAGGAAGGGGAAAATGGAGGCAGAAAAGACAGAAACATGTGATAGAGGATTTAGTAAACAGCTAGAGGGAATGGGGAAGTCAAAAGACTGTTGGTCTGGGCTGAAAGGGGGAAAGGCTTGAGATGGGAGTTTTTGGGGATTCTGGGTTATGAAACACTGGTGGCTTTGGGACAAGACAATTAAGGGATTGAAAACTGAGAGAAGGTGAGAGATAGGTCTCGTAACCAGGTGACTTAAACAGGGCACTACTCTCCTATGCATTTCTAGACAGGAGATTCTGAATTGTTGTTTTCCCCCTTTTCAGTCCTCTGTTTACACCACTTGAAATATGATAGTATTTTTAAAAAAGCATTCTAAAATAAATTGGTGTGAAGATGATCCCTGGAAGAGAACATTACTTACCTAAATAATAAAAATAGTACAATTGTTTAAAACCATTCCAGAAACTTGGAGTTAGTTCGCTTTGTTTGTAAGTGCCTGTATGAAAGGGACTTGATATTTCAATTTAATTATGTTTCATGATAAGATTAGGATCATTTATTTGAAGGGGTATATGACTTGAAAATACTGCTGTTGCTGTAGGGTGTGTTTCTTTTCAAAGGGCAAGAACTATGTAAGAGTTGAATGTCTTTGTCTGTGCCTTGGTTCCCTTTGTTGTGCCCAGATTTTGGGGGCTGGAGTGCTCTGAATGCATACCTTCTTCCAAGAGCAGCTGGGAAGCTTGTTTTCCATTCCCATTTTTGTGAGAATTGCTTCTGGTATCCATGCACTAGTGTAGGTCTCTGGGGTTCCCAGGAATGTAGCCTCAGCAGTTGTGCTTGGAATGATGTTGTCATTCTGGCTGGGACTCCACCTCTGTCCCTCTCCAATCTCTGCTGTTCTTCACTGTTCCCTTCCCATGTCCAAAGCACCTGTTTTATATTTCCTCTCTTACACTCTTGTTTTTTAGCCTCTATATTAAATTAGTTTATTATTTATTTATTTTTATTGATAGATTTTTATTAGTTATTGATATTATATTATTATTGACTGCCGAAATGTTGATGTTCAAAGGCAAAATTTTAAGTGTAAGTGTCTGATGGAGTTTGAATAAGATGTTTAAAATCTGTCCTCTTAAGAAAACAAGATTTTTGTGATTACATCAGCTTTCTGTCTTGACAGCCTTCTCCATTCACTTCTGAAACACCAGATGGGAACTTCACACTGATACTCAGAATGTGCAATTCTTAGTATATGGGAGATGGAGATGGTAGGAAGCTAAAGCTTTCCTGATGTGTGGTTTTGTTCCATTGTACTCAATTTTCAGTCCTCACAAAGCGTATGAGAACATTTTGCCTTTAATTTGTGTTTTTAAAAAATATTTTCCATTATATTGTATGAAATGTCATTAGTGCATCCTCATTCTTGCAACCTGGAGAAAACAAGAGTGCCTTCACAGTGATATACAATAGAAAAATTGATGTAGAGTCCTTAAGAATCATTATTTAATTCCTTTGTATCACTGTACAATGCCTTACTGCCCAGTTGCAGGAATGAATGAGAGATGAATAGAGAGAAAAGTGGAGTAGTATTATTCTATCTTAGACTAGAAAAGGAGAAGTTGTTTGGGTAACTTCTGTAGCTGTCTTTAATGGTAAGAGCAGAAAAGATGTTGCCTTAAGGACACATTTGAGTATGACAATCTTCAGTTATGTTATGAAGGATATGGTCTGTATCATGACCAGTGCTATTCAGTGTCTTCATCAGTGACACAGTGGCATCAGGTGCACCCTCAGCAGGATG